CGACTCTGGAGGATTGTCGTGATAGACAGCTGCCGTGTTTTGCGAAGTCGTGCCTTTGCCGAGCATTGCCTGCAGGAGCTAGCTGGCATCAGATCCGACGCTTGTCACTCGGGCCAATTGCGATGTCATTTCGTTGCACCACAATAACTTTTGCTCACTTTGCCGGCCATATCATCTGCCTGACACAGCAGCGAGCGATGCGCATGCTTGTCACACGTCGCGTCAGAACCGTCACATGAGGGGTCAAGCATGTACAGGCGACCGTGCCGCACCACGCCGACTTGCTGGACCCTGATCCCGACCTGACCGCGTTTACCGTACATGATGTTTGTTAGATACCGAACACAAAACTTCCTTCTTGACTGCTGTTGGAACCGCCAGAACCAAAAACATGTCAGATTGCTCAGTTGATACTCGCCAAAGACAGCGCCCATCCCGGAGTTTCGACCACGCACTGCGCCTAGTACACGGCTTTGGTATCAAACACCATGGTAGCGCCAGACCCTCTACTCCCTCTCCGCTTAGCGGAACCATACAAGACACCTTCTTGCATGGGGGGCCGTGCACAGACCGAGCAGAAGAGCAAGGATCCCGGTGGGCCCGTTTAATGGCATCAGCATTTTGCTGCGAGATGACATGCCACCGGCGGTACTGCGACTCGGCGAGCACAGAACCATTGGGCGGGTTCGGGCTTCAAGAACCAGAAGAGAGCGTATCTCGAACTCAATCACAACTCGAGCTCGTCATCCCGCGGCTCAAGCCACGTTTCTGGAGGCTGAGATTCTTGGGCCGACTACAACCCCACTTGCCAGTTATATGACAGGCGACACATCCCTGCACCCGGCCCCTCAACACCATACCAGCAACATCTCACGATGCGGATGCCATGTCTTGGGTCACTCTACTTCGCCAGTTTTGCACCATGTGCTCCGCGGGTGCCTCATCCCATCGGCTATATTTTGTGTCTGCACCCACATAGCCGCTGCAACCCACACAGGCTGTAGCAGACGCTCATGCCCATTTACCAACACCCTAGAGGACTTATCGCTGTGGTTGCACCATACCATATGCTTCGGCTTTGTTCATGCTCACCGCCATGATTAACCGAGCAAGCGAACCACACAGCTGGTCCTATTCCGAGTCGTATCTGAGGCGACATCGCTTGATCCCGCGCAGCCTCAAGGCTTACAATGACAGGGGTGCGTGACTACCAGAACTTTGTGCATAGCGATCTTAGTACGCTTCTGGCCTGTTCTGTGCACACAGGGAGTAGCCCACAACGTGCATCCGGAATTCAACCCATTGCTACGCTTTCGCAGTCGCTCCACGACAATGAGAAGATCGTCGCCGAAATGGTGCCATTAGCGGTGAGGCCTCAAAACCCCCCGTTCAACCGCTTCGTCACATCTTGGTTCAGAATACCAAGCCGGCAAGTCTCCATACACCGAGTGCCGCTGCAACCGTGCTCGTCGGATGACATCCTAACAACATTTTTCTTGTCCTTCGACACCACCACTGGCGACAACTCGCTGAAGCATGACATCATCGCGCATGTGTCATCTGAAGAGGCTCCACCAGCGCTACCCAATCGACCCACTGGGCACCCATAGGGTCAGGACAAGCTTTTGTGGATTCCCGCGACTCCGATGAAGATATTATCAGATCCGTGGTATGACCCTTCAGCGCTGCATGTCGTCACACGGGCTGGATGCTTACCACTCAGGTCGTTCCCTTCTCAGATGCCTGAATCGAGCTTCATAAACTAATATTCCGCACGCATAGCTTAGGCGAAAGTAGACTTAACAAAGGCCACTTCCTAAGCTTGACAAGGCACGCGTTTACATCATACTCGAACTTGTCGCTTGGAACACTCCGATGTGGCACTTGTAGTGGGCGTGGGCGGAAGCATCTTATAAAAGTCAATCATCGTCTGAATATACGAAGGAGTTCGCATCTATGCATTGTTTGACATGGACATGTACACGGAGCGGTATCTGCACCTCCGACATGACCTTGAATCAACAATCATCATCTCGGTATTCGACTCCTATAACTCTTAAAGGGACACTCTTAGAGGCGCCAGCTTTTTCGTCGTCGTAACAGCCTCATGCTCTCGAGTCTTTCCGCAACCTGGACCGTGCTGATAACATTACCCCACCACCCCACTTCAAACATCACTTTCACAAATGCGTAGCCTTACCAACGGCCGAACAAACACCTAGATCGAACAGGACAAGAAACACGCAATGCTCATCACAGAGACACACAAAGATGTGCCGACCAAGGCAGGCGGTGACATGAGTACGTTGCTGCACGCGCCGTTCTAAATGTTGGTTCGTCACATGGAAGCTGATTTGTGTGCTCGTCCAGGGATCTTCATCTTCCATCCTACTGTCCCCAACTACCCCAAAGCCAAGTTTCCGGGAGTCGTTGTGTTCTCCGAGATATATCAAGGTATGTTAAATTATTCCAGTCTCTATTGGGATTTGCTCTTGACATGCATCGTCATTGTTGTCACTACTATCATCCTCCATTCATAATGCATACATGATTTCAATGGACCAAGAGTAATTATGGCCGCTAATTTACATATCCTCGAGTATTTACTCCCCCTTCTCTTGCCATAGAAACCCCATCACTTGTTTTGTTGCTTCCTGAAGACCACTCATTCATTTCGACCCTTCCATACGCCCCCACTCATTCCACCTACCAACTAAGTTCCGAATAGTCACTGGACCTGTCGCGCGCTTCGCCCGTCAAATAGCGTCTCAAGGCTATATCGTCGCAGCCCCATCATCCTATCACGAGTTCACAGGCCCAGAACCTCTCGCATACGATGGTCCGGGTACAGACGCCGGAAACGAATGGAAGATTACCAAGACAGTCGAAGCATATGACGAAGATGCCACACTATCCATTGACACACTGCTTGAGTTGCCAACGTGTAACGGGCGAGTTGGCGCTACCGGTACGTTTCTGTTCTCTTATATGCCGTCCCAATACTAGTCTACATCTACTGCAACCTACCTTTTAACCCCCCACTTCCACACCAATTCAAATTAACCGTAAGTAGGTATGTGCCTAGGCGGCCACCTAGCCTACCGCTGCGCCCTGGATCCGCGCATATCCAGCGCAATCTGTTACTTCGCAACCGACATTCACAGCTCCACACTGGGCAAGGGCAAAAAGGACGACTCACTCGCCCGCACCAAAGACATCAAGGGAGAACTTGTCATGATCTTTGGTAAAATGGACACTCACGTCCCACCCGAGGGCAGGGATTTGATTAGGAAGACACTTCATGAGGCTGGAGTCACGTTTTCCTTCTACGAGCCGGCTTGGGCACAGCGTAAGTTTGGTATTGGGGTGGTTGTATAGAAGTAACGTTAACACGCTGTAGATGCGTTTATCCGCGATGAACTTAGTAAGGGTCGATATGATGCGGCGTTGTCGGGAATTTGCTTTGAAATGCTAAAGGAGCTTTTCAATCGGACGCTCCGAAGTGATCTGGGACCAAGGAGTGGTGATAATGTTGAGGTAGAAGATGTTTGTTAGGATGGAATGAGTGTGGCATCAAGTCTAGGCCGTCAAGTTGTTGGGAAAGGCAGGCGGTTGCTGATCGGAGAGTGGCTCGGATTCCAATGAAGACTATATATCAGATCTAGGCGACACGCATCTGTTTCACAAGCAACTACAAGGACTATTAAGGCATCTCGACGATGGGACATGGAGGAAGAGGAGCCAATGGACCAATGAGGACGCCCGCAATATGCGCTAGCTCTAAACTGCGCTAACACCGATGCTTCTCGAACCTCGGAGCTCAAAACATCTGAATTCGCCATCCTGACGCCTTCTACTATCACCAACCGCTGTAACACCAAAACCAATCCATTTCCACATCACCACCGAATCAACCAAACATGCCTCGTCAACGCTCCGGAACCGCTCCCCCTCGCCGCCCGCAGGTCCCAGCTGCGAAGCAAGCAACCACTGCACCTGCGCCCGCTTCCTCGCGCCCGCACTCAACCGCCGCTGCTCCCCCTCGCGCACCAGCCAGCGCTCATGCGCCCCCTCAACAGCAGGCTCAGGCTCCTACACCTCAGGGACCGGGTCTGTTTGGACAAATGGCTAGTACCGCTGCGTAAGTAGATCCTAGGCATCCATCCATTTTCCACCACGAAACCATTTTGCGCCACCCATTGCCATGCTGCAGTCATGGGAAGGAATGTGGAAAATATGGTCCGAATCTCAAACCACAAATACAACTGACTAACACCCATGATAGCGGTGTCGCAGTAGGATCTTCCATTGGCCACGCAGTCGGCGGCTGGTTTGGAGGCGGTTCCTCGGCCCCCGCAGAGGCCTCGCCTCAAAACACCGAATTCTCCGCCCAGCACCAGCCCGCTGATACAGCGTCCGCTCAGATGGCTCAGTCGGGTCCTTGCGCAAATGACGTGCAAAGCTTCCGCAAGTGCATGGACGAGAACCAGGGTAGTCTGACTATCTGTGGTTGGTACTTGGACCAGCTCAAGGCGTGCCAGGCGGCAGCCAGCCAGTACTAGTGGGACGGACACTTGATATGGGAATAAAAAAACACGAATTGTATAATCTTGGGGGAAGAATGTGTGTAGAGAAAGACGCAAGGAATGCATTTGTGGAGCATAGATAGCGAACACAGCATATATCCTGCGATGGTGGCGGTGTTTGGCATAGTTGTTTATATTGGGGACCAAATCACCTCACTTTTGTTATATGCATATCGCACCTGGAGCAGAGAAATGCTCTTTCCACTGGCGAAAGCATTAACCTTTAAGGTCCTGCCTTTCTTCCCTGTGATGTGTATCTTCACGTCCCGGATTCAAGAAAATTCTCAACTTTACATATACAACCTGATTACCTGATCCCCTCTTCCAAGAGATTCAACTCCTATTCTCACACATCCACTGGTGCAATACCTTACTTCCATTCCATTCTCCTTTTCATCTCCTCCACCAGTACCTTCAATCCCAGCTAGGAACAATCTCAGCATCGCCATTATCATCCATCCTCCCCTTCCCTTTCCCCACATACACCAAGCCATTCCACTCCTCGCCCCCATGCTGTTGCGACACGCTCTCCAAACCGCCAAACACTCCTTTCCATTCATCATTCGGGTTCTCGTGCATACTGCACTCCATCGCCTCACGGTACCCCGAGTCAATCCTCCGTTTTTTGGTTGTAGATGGACCGGGCATACCCACCCCACCTCCTACCCCTACTTCTACCTCTCCGACTCTCTCTTCTAGTACCTCGTGACAGCCTCCCCTTTTAACTCCTGCAAGGAACTTGCTAGTTTGAATCGTAGTGTCGCCAAGAGCAGTAGTAGTAGTAGTAGTAATAGTAGTTGCAGCAGAATTGCTCCCAAAACCCCACTGCTTCTCAGACGTCGCATCCCCCTCCGTTGCCTGTGCAGACATGTTATTGTCGTGGAAAGGATCAGAGTACAGATCCTCGTTATTGAGCGTATCTGGACTGTCCTCCTCCTTCTCCTTCTCCTCCCTCATCAACCCCAACGACTCTTTCTTTTCAAGATATTCACTCGCATCTGTTCTTTTGTCCTTTCTTACACCAGCCTCCACCATTGTATTCATCGGCATTCCTGCCGTTCCTGTCGTTGCCGTTAAAGACTTTTTCAGAATCCTCTTCTCCCTCTCGATTTCATCAAACTTCCTCTGCGCTTCCAGCACAGCCAGCGTGATTCCACTGGCCTGTTGCTTGTATATCTGCTGGAGCGCAGCTGGGTTTGCGGCATGTTGTTTCGTGCGCAACGAGGACAGTGCTTGGTTTGCACGCTGACGAATGGTGCTTTCTTGGTTTTTTAGTTCGGTTAGTTTGGCGAGGCAATTGCGGGATTGTTGGCTTAGAGCTTGATATCTGGCTTGGTGTTGCTGTTGTTGGATTTGGAGCAGTCTAATCTGTTGTTGGGCTTGTTGTTGAGTTTGAAGCATCTGTTGGTGTTGATGTGCGTAGTCTGAGAGTGTGGGATGACTTCTCCTTGGAACACTCGTTGAACCGTTGGCTACATGTCGATATCCAGGAGCAGGAGCATGGATTTGGGACTGCTTTTGTTGTTGCTGGACTCGCATCATGCGTACGTATTGTTCCGACGTGTAGGATCGCGTTTCGCCCGAGTTTCCCGTCATGGGTATACCCTCTTGAGCCATTTTATCAGAGTCCAAAAGCACGGGAGACTGTGCGGTTTGACCAGACGGGGACTGAGGCCGCGCTGAGCTCATGTCTTCCCATTCGTGCGAAGGATACATGTCGCTCTCGAGAAGCTTTCCTAGACGTTTATTCATTTCCCGCTTCTTCCGCTCTTCATCAGCTTTGTAGGCTTCCCAGTAGTGAATTAGCTCGTTTCTTATACCACGGAATGCGATTACATCTTCTTGTTCACGCGCAACCCTGGCTTGATGTAAGAAAGTGTGCTTTCCACTTCGAAACGTCACGTCAGGTACGTGATTGGCCAGTTCAGTGTAAAAGTTACGAAATTCAGCAAACATCCTCCGAATAGGCGGTTCTTCTGTAATGGCTGTAGAGCTGTCTGAGGAGATCTGGCGCTTCCATTCGGCAGCATAAGCATCAAAAGCTGGCATATTAGCTGCCAGCATCGGTTTGTTGGTAGGCAGGGAAGGCACCGAGCAGCAGTTCTCGTAGTGACCTGTTGGCACGGAATATATCTGAGAGGTGCCAGGTATCACACAATACACCGAGTTATTGTTTGGTCGTCCATCGAATACACCACCAATACTCGGCTGTCGTACATTTCGTAGTCGTTCAAAAGGGCTAAACAAAAGCTTGGAGTTGGACAGAATCTGGTACTCGTCCCACTGGAAATCATCTAGACCAAGTCGAACTTGAAGCTTGCAGAGCTTCTTGGATTTGGCCAAAATGCCAGAGACGACCACAGAGACATAATCTGCTTCCATTAACAAATGCTCAAGAGTATGCATCAGATCCGTACCTCTGATATCATAGATTTCAACCTCCTCGTCCCAAGTAATGTTGAGACCCCGGTTGATATGAGAATGCGCATCACCCGAATTCTCCAGTAGGATATCTACAGTGTAATTCTTCACAGACGCCCAATCGAAGCTTTTCAGAAACTTCTTTTTGGCTTTGTCGGCCGCTTCCGCCATCATATGCGAAGATCCATCCGCCCGTTTGGGTTCCAGCAGTCGACGACCGCACATGAACGCACCGTCTTTGCGGACGTCAATTTTGAAGGTGACGACGCTGAAGAGTAAGTCTTTTACTTCATCGTGGATCTGACGGGATACAAGAAGGAGGTCCGTGAGTCGCATGGGAAATGCAGCTACCAGTGGTGGTGGAAGACCTGAAGGTACGAATGGCGGCGGTGGCAGCATAGGACGATTAGTCGTATGAAAAATATAAGGCTCGTCGTAACTCTCCTGGTGAACGGCAGCCGTTGATGAGCCGATCGATTCGGTGGGCAGCAGATAGCGGTAGACTTCGCATCGTAGCTCAAGCGGCAGCTGCTTGAGGAAGTAACAGGGCGTGCCTGGATGACCTTGATGATCAACACAAAGCTCAAAGTATGGTCTATGGAGCAAGATACATGGTCAGCACGTGTCTCATACACGATTCATACATGGATGCAACGTACGGCCGCCATCTGAAAAGCCTTCCGCACCTCTCTCCATCCGAGCACTTGAACTGGCACCATCCGGCAAGGCTTTGCTGATCACGATGAGAGCCGCATGTAGGAAGAAATGTAGGATGAGTGTCTTTTTGCGATTTCTTCCCAATCACTGCGCTGCATCGGAGATTTGTCTTCTTGGAAAGGCCTGAGCATCGTCTCATAAAGTTTTCTGGATCTCTGGGATTAAAGGGTGTCGATAGTTTCACGGGCACCGGTTTAGGTTCAACAATGAGTACTTCTGGCTCGGGATCGTCTTCGATTTTGATGCGATCGGAAGAAGCTTGAGACGCGGACGCCATGACCGGCGATGACGGTCAACAGACTCGTTGTACACGCCAGACGAGCGCTGAGATGATGGGTCAAAGACGACTGGAACGATGGAGGAGATGGAGTCGGAGTTTCAACAAGATGCCAGGCGCGGCAGGTTCTAGGTAGCAAACACGCCGTGTAACTTACGTCGAGCCGTCGGAACACATAGGTTTCTCCCTGAGGAGAGATGTGTTGAGCGGGGTTCTGCACTATCGCATCGGGAGGCCGCCAACTACGCGAAATGTCGTATGGAACTCTTTTGCACTCTTATGAACTTGAGTGTTGCACTCTGCGCAGGACCTCAGTCGTCCTTCGCCGCATCAGCCGTCAACTGCGTGCCCCGCTTTCTGCACATGGTACGCCCAAGCCTCCTATGGCACAAGGCCTGGACTAGGCGAATTGCCCGGTTGGCGTACATGCCTACCGATAACCTGCACAACCATTACCAAGACATGTTTCCTGCGAGGAGAGGTTCCGTGGTCGCGACGATGGAGGGCCGTTCATGATTAGCATCATGCTCTTTGCCCAATTTGTCTAGTTTCATCGGCGGGGTGACCGGGGCCGTGTGGGTTGACGATCTGCGGAGAAAGCATCGCATCACGAAACTAGACCAAGCCCCATCAACCTGCATCGTGGCTCAACCGTGCGGCGCCTCGCCCGTCTCGCTGCCATTCTAGTCATTGATCAACATGCAGCGTCTCGCGAGCACCCTCTATGCGTTCGCGCCGGCTGATGCTCGGTATTACCAAGGATACACCGAGCTCTTGACACGAGGCTGAGCAACACTTGCGGCACTTCTCAGACTGACCGGACATTTACGGCTGTGCTTGACCTTGCTTTTGGCCCCAGACAACTATCAGCTCTAGTATCGCGGAGCGTAGACACCTATATACGTGTACACATCCAGTGGACCATGCTACGCCATGGCGGATGAGGTAGATACGCAAGCATGTATTCTCCTGGCTCGAGTCGATGCTGACACCTTACAGCTTGACCCAACACGAAGCGATGCATCATCGAAGCCTTCCTTTCGAGACGCCGTGTACGGGAGCATCGGTTCCCCCAGCTCTGCTCATGACTCCGGTGTCGAAGTGAGCCCTACCAATACGTTACAACGAGGTTATCCACCTCCTAGACGATACTACATCTTCCCACCCAACATCAACGGCCATGGGCGTATGGTGCTGGCACATCGCACAGTGCCACATCTAGTCGGATTCGTGCTCGTAGTGGGTGTCTTTGCTTGGGGCGTATGCTCCGCCATATATGCCTATCCGCTCTTGGGTGGACATCCGAATGATGGGAGGGCGGGCCATGATTGAGTTGGAGCGACGTGTATAATCAGTTCATATGGGCGTATGGCGTTTGAGGTAAAGACCGCAATCGACAACGTATCCTGCTCTGCAGGCCACATGTCACTGTCACATGGACTGTCCGCTTTAGTCATGGGCATTCTCTCTCTGTTCATCTACATTTATTGTGTTTGGTAGTATGCGGGATGCTAGATGACCGGCGTATGCGAAGACTGTAGCTACAGAATTCAAGACCTGTATCCTCTCACAACTTTTCTTTCTCACGAGCTTCTTCCTTACGGGCTTCCGCCTCACCCCTCTTAATCATCAACTCTGCCTCCGCCCTGCCCCCTTTCTTCTCCTCCACAAGTGGAATTCCTTCCTCCATTTCATGCTGCACCACCATCCTCTTCCCCTTAACCAACTGCATAACCATATAATTCATCGCACATCGAATCCCCAACTCCTCGCCTCTCTTCACAATCCATCCGTTTATATAATCAATCTCGGTTTGTGCACCCTGACGTGTATCCGCTAGCATACTGCTCACGTTATCCCTGGTGCGGTGTGCCACAGCCACGACAACGGTTTCTAGACGACCCGGGTCGAAGCGCTGGGACACGTTGGGTATGTACTGGAGTTCTGGAAGTGAGCGGATGACGAGACTTATTTCGGACAGTAGGAGGCGCATTGTACGGGTTAATGCGTAGTTGTTTAAGATGGCGCCGTTTCGCGCGTCGAGAAGGGCAGTAAGTGGGTTTACAATGCAATTTACGGCTAGCTTATCGAGTTGCATTTGGAGGAGGTCAGGAGGTGAGAAGGAGGCTGCGCTCAGTACCGGTGTGCGGAGGAGGGTTCGGAGTAGGTAGCGTTGGTTGGGCGTAAACGGGAATTTGCCGCTGCTCGGGGGTGGGTACTCTGGGTTGAGTTTGTCGGGCACGTCGGGATAGACTGGTTTGCTGTCTTTTGGTGCGGTAAATCTCAACTCGGGCACATAGGGCTCGTTGGTATCGCGATCTCGCTCGTGGGGCAAGATACCTAGTGAGATCGTCCCGAAACCAGCATGGACAGTGGTAAAACGACCGTCTCGCGAGGTGTGCATGCCATGCGAATTGATCCCGAGCATATAGTGTGGTCTAGTCTCCGGATTTGGGAAGATCTCTCTGTTGACTTCCTCGATCACCCCCATGCCATTTTGCAAGAAACAAACCACGGAGTCTTTGTGTAGTCTGTGCTTTACAGAAGAGATGGCCTGTAGAACGAACGGGGCTTTCGAGCAGATGATCAGCGAGCTGATGGGTTCAGTTGATTCCCCAGGCAAGATCTGAGGCCCCTCTGGAGTGTCCACAGAGGAAGCATTCAAGCCCACCTCATGGCCATGGTATCGAACACGCGGTATTGCTAACTCGGCATCGTAACCGTCCCTTATCTCTGCATCACCTTCGGTGACCAGCGTCAGCCTTCGCTGCGAATCGTTCCATTCGTTGAACTTTTCCCATCCCCCAAATATCAACGTTACTGGAGGGGCGTTGGGTATTCCGCGCAGAGCATGCGCAACGAATTTTCCTACATTGCCGACACCCATTATATGAATACGGCGATCGAGTACAGGCTGCCTGCGATAGAAGTCGGCCGTATTATGGGAAGTTGGTGAAGGGACCGATTGATCTGGTCTATCCTTGCTGTTTCATGTAAGCCATGGTGGTTCTAGAGTAGCGCTGTGTATACGGACTCATCTGCCAGTTCATCTTGTGCGCCCATACTTTCGGACTTCTTCCAGCTCGTCATGAAGCTCCTCGTCTGATAGTAAGCCACCCGGCTCGCGCAATTGCTACCGGAGTCGCATCTTCTTCTTATGTGTGGTATCCGAGGCCGAAGCCTGGGTAGGAATTGTGAAACGGAAGAGAAAGACAGCTTGAACGATTTGAAATTCACATGTGTATATTGCGACCAATTCTACAATAGGCGAAGACAATTTGAGAGTCGGCGGAGATGAGTGAATGACGCTGTGAGCTATCGGACGTTTGGCTATCGGAGCTAGCGCGGGTTTACGCTCGGCCCGCAACTTTTCTTTAGCTTGTGTTTCTAGATCATCGCGACTCCGACCAACTTCACCTGCAATTGTTGCGAATAGTCGCGACCTCTGCAAACACGAGTCTGATATTCGCGACTAGAAATCTACCATCATGGATCCGCAAACAGACCTTCCCGACCTCGTCGAGGACCTAGAAGTCAACATCGACGAGCTCACGACGGCACTCGAACCTCTACTAGCAACGCCTCTGCACACGACCGCGTCATCTCTCCCACTCCTAGATAAAGCAGAGTTTTACTGCATGTCTGCATACGCCATCGAGGCGATCCTCTTCTCCGTGCTCAAGGCTTCGGGCGTCAATGCCATGGAACACGATGTCTTCAAGGAGATTGCGCGTTTGAAGCAGTACAACAGCAAGATCAAGGACATCAAGGACAGGGGCATAATGGGTAGCGCGGAAGGCCGGGCGCGATTGGACGTAGGCGCAGCGCAGAGATTCATCAAGCATGGATTGGCTGGCAACGACAGGTACGATCTGGAGAGGCAGGAGCGCATAGCAAAAGAAAAGGCGCGAGCGCACTTGAAGGCTCAGAAGATCAACAAGAAATTCGATGATGAGGGCAAAGAGATGGAATCCAAGGACGCGACGCCGAAGAAAAGGGGTGTCGACGAAGTCGATGGCCAGCAAGAGAACTCGGATAATGAGGTGCTTGAAGGTTTTGAGGAAACAGAGCCTGCGACTAAGAAAGCCCGCGTTAATTCAGCCGATGTCACGGAAATCGACTCTGAAGCCACATCGTCTAGCCAGACAACGTCAAAAAAGCAGAAGAAGGAAACAAAGGCCAAGAAGTCGAAAACGAAGAAGGAATCCAAGAAGGCTGAGAAGAAGGCAACACAAAGCCCAGAGAGCACCGACGCTGACGCCGACAACAAAGAGGACGACATGCCTTCCCTCTCCGTCGCAGCCGGCGAATCGCAACCAGAACCCGAGCCAGAAATCGACACACCACAACCTAGAAAGCGCGGTCGTCCCCCAAAGAAGGACAAGAAGACACCAAGGGCCAAACAGGATTCGGACACGATTGACGTCGCGACACCAACTCCAGACACAGATGCCGAAGCAACACCCTCAAGAGCCGAGGAGCGCGTCACAAGAAGGAGGAATACGAGGCTTTCAACGCAGAACTTGCAGGACGAGGAATCCGTGGAACCAACACCGGATCAAGCACCCAAGACACGGAGCGAGACGTTCAATGCGTTGCTTGACGGTTCGATAAGTGAGAAGCAGAAGAAAGGGAAGACTGGTGGTAGAGGAGGTAAACGGGGAGGAAAGGGAAGGGGGAAGTGATTTTATAGCAACATTACAAGCATAAGAGAAGACGCTACAGAGGTTAATTCATCGCGTATCATGCGACGTAAGAGCTTCAGAGCATGGAGAAGTCGATGCAATCACCATCTGAAGCTTTTACACGAGGTCTAGTAATTATAGGAGTATGTATTGCTCCTCTTGTCATACTGTATTCACGTTCAACCTTTGAAGAGGACATGTATGGAGGCAGGTTCTATTACATGGCAAGTTCTCTCTCGATAATGATACCCAACCTATCTCCAGGATTTTCATCTTACTCCAGTTTCAAATATAACATGGGATTTTGCAATCATCTGCCTCCATTCGTTTCACAACTTTAGAATGACGCGTCTAATTAGATTCGGTGCTCGCGTCCCGTCTTTGCATACGGAGGCTGAATACAAATTTTACGATATGTCAGCCTCGATCAACCACACCATGGACAGCAACCACTCTGAAGACAAGATATCAGCCAAAAGCTGTATACATGCACCGGTGGGCTGTTGTTTTGTTTATCTCGCAAGGTTGATAGCATTCCTCCATTCCCTTCCTTCTTCTTTGCTCACACCTCGGCCACCCCAACACCATCATGAAGAGTACTCAGAGTCTCCATCAGGAGGCTACCCAGTCTACGTTATCGGTCAAACACGAGCCAGTATCGATGGTGACACCCCTTCTCAACCCCAGCGATGCAACTCTTGCTCCACAAGGCTGGCCAACATCGCCGAGCCGCATCAAGCACCCTTCATCTACAGTGCTACTGGTTGGAGCTTTTGAAATAGCTCTATTAGCATTCTCATCATGCTTCATCATCTTTTCGTTAGTAGTCATGTCTTACGATGGCAAACCCACAAGCGAGAATTCAACGGCTACCAGCGTTCTCACGAAAGCGACTAGACATGTATGAGCCTACGCACGACATCAGAATTATCTGGAAACTGACATTATGAACAGAGTCCTACCGTCTTCCCGCTGCTCTTCGCTTCAGTCATTGGGCGAGCAACTCACGCAATACTTCTTTGGCGGCTAGAGAAGGGCGAACGCATCCAAGTCCTCGATACGTTGGCTACAAGCACATGCCTCACGAGTAAAGTTACCTCACAGATTCAACTCCGCCAGATCAGTGTCTTGAGTATGTTGCTCGTTGTTATATGGGCGCTATCACCGACTGGGGGCCAAGCATCACCCCAGCAAATGTCCACTGACATGACGTATAACACCACCTCGTTAACATTCAAACACGTCGTACCATTTGGAAATATGCTTGTATACGATATGCGCGCGTGCGATCGCTCGGCTGTAGATAACCTCTTTATCGGCGCCATGCTTACTTCTTCGAGGATTAGAGCCTCCTCACTAGATGTCTGGGGCAATGTCAAAGTACCCAGAATCGAGCACTACGAAGCTACTGTAGACACAGACAGTCAAGGATAGTACGAAAAAAGTATGGATGATGATGACTTGGCTCCCTATACGTCTTTCGTGGGTATACCTATCGTTGATGTCCAAAGCAAGGCGGACACAACCAGTTTTGACTTGAACATACAAACGTCATATTGTTGTAGTCGTTGCCGTGGATACATATCTCATATGCTTAAAACCAAACATTCAGAACTCTTGGGCGCAAGTTTCGTTTCAATTAATCAAGTCGCTAGAAAGAACCGTCCACCATTGTACACAAACGAAGACGACACACAATCCCTTTCCTTCCTTCTTTCTTTCTTCTCTCTTTAACGAGCCTTCCTCCCCCACTCCTTATCCCCTTCAATATCCCCCCTCATCTCCGGAAACGTATCGAAAAACTGTTCGTCTACCGACCAGTACTTTAGATCCCCGTGATAATGCTCAAACAGCGGACTGGGGTAATGCATGCCGGTATTCTCGTCGAGGAAGAAGGCGTCTTCAAAGGAAAACGGCCAGTCGAAGCGCAGGAAGCGCGAGTAGCAGCTTGAGAGGTCGGCACCTGCGCTGGTTTGGAAGAGTGTGGCGTGATGGTTGAGTAGGCGGGAGCGAATGGTAGGCCAGGCGAAGAAGTCGAGGGCTATGGGGTGGGAGGTTGAGGATTGTGAGAAACTGGGGATGGGGGTTATTAGAGGTTGTTGGGACAAGATAGGTAAATGGGTGGGGGTAGGTTTTACCTTGGACGAAGCCAGTCTGGTACTTTGTCTAATTCTTCTTTTGTTGCGTTGAGATAATACTAAACGTTTTTGGTTCCCAACATTAGCTTTCCTTTGCTTTGTAAACTTTCCGAAACGTTCTTTTCCCATACTTTTCATTTAGATTGGAAATAGAATGTTCAACGTACCTTGAGCAGCTTGAGACTCTTATATGCCACAGCCAACCTCTCCACATTGGGTAGATGCACAAATAGTAACTCGTCAACCTGTTTCAAAATCGTGAGCGCGGGACTCTTCGTCCATTCTGGTGATGATGAGTTGTCCCAACCATGTTTTATGCCTAGGTAGAGAAGTCCTGCTTCTGCAGTCTCGGACCGCACTAGACTATTGTTTGAGGAGGAGGAAGAAGAAGAAGAAGAAGAGCTGTTTGTGGTGCTAGGGGAACGATGATGGTAAGTGAAGACTTTGCCGAAGAGTTCGTTGCTCTTTTTCCAGACGGGACAGACGGAGGAAGGGGTTGAGGTGGCTGGGGTGTCTGGATTGCCGATGTGGAGGATAGTTGGGGATGGATAACGCCAGTTTGGGCCAAAGATCTGTAGTCAGAGGGGGTTAATAGGCAAGGGAGATAAGGCATAGGTCCAGCGAAACGTACTTCTTCCATCATGGGCGCCCAGGTTGCTGTTGCTGGTGCATTACCCCAGGGTAAGTCCTCCACCTCCCCTTCCTCTGAGCTTTCTCGGACAGGCTGGAGATCGTGCTCCATCTCGAGATGTTCATGTTGGTTTGCCAACGCCACGGGCACGTGCACGTCTGACATGACCGTCATGCCATCGAGATCGAGTGGGCGGTTTATCCTAGATGGAACAAAAGAACTCGATTGATCGACGGGTGTTGGTAGAGATGGTCTCGTCGCACTGCCATGCGACATGGCGCGCGGCTTAGGCGATCGCTGGCCTACCATCTAGAGTGAGCCATCCCATCACAAGGTCAGGGGCCAATAATAAAGAATTATGCGTACCGGCACTGGTTGCAGCAGGAGAGATGCCCCCATCGCCCCCATCGCCCCCATCGTCGGCCTGTTGTGGTCGTGGCACCGCCGTCGCGGTAGCCTTACTAGACACGCCAAAGTCGAGTCCTACCACGCTTTTGACACTATCAATTACATCTTTCAATCGTTCATTCTCCGCCCTTAAGCCATCAATTTCAGACAGTAAACTTGCGGTCGCTCCATTACGATCTTGATCTCGGAGTATCTGGATCGTTCGCTCCAGCTCTGCAATGTGCGTCTTTGTCTTTTCTCGCAGTGAGCGTTGGGCTTCGCGGTCGATGGCTCTTTTCCTCTCGCGTCGCTCCTGTTCTCCCAGACAGGAAGCACGTCGTTTCCGCTTTGCGACGGGCGCAATAGGCGTTTGAGGTGGAGGAGCTGCGTCGCTAGCTCGTCGATTCACCATGGTAGAACAAGTATGATGACAAAGCAGGTCCGTTAGTTCCTTTTCGAATCGCGCAGCTCAAGTCAGCAGTAGACGATTGGGACTCTATTCAAAATCAATGTCAATGTAACCGAGTCAATGCTAACTATCCTGGCGACGGAAGGCTCCGTTATAATCCGCCGTTGATAGCGCCTACCGAGGGATTTTCCCACAGTCGGGTCTTTGACATCGTGTTGAGTTAGCGGCATCCGGATGCCATGATGCGGGGGAAGGTGGGGTTATGGGGTAGGTAGTAGGAGTACGCATGCGATAACTACGCTTTCCCGCATCCTGTACTAACTCCACTGGGTTTGGTAAGACAGCCTCATAAAGCTTGGTGCGGGATTATTGGCCAAGGAGATCAGAGACACGCCGATCGACGTCGTGTACCAGGGAAAGCGTTGCCGAAGCTTGCCATTGCATGCTACCACGGACGAAGTTTCGTCCTTGTGAGAGATCATTTAGCCACGGGCAACAAAGACACAACACCAGAATGATGTGAGAATATTGCAAGTGGCAGATGACAAACCGTGCACTGCGCAAATGTGTAAATTTAGCTGGCCTGATGTCTAGCAATCCCACCTCTACAGCTTAGAGGGTCGCCAAATCGGTTTGCGCTTCTCAGCAAAAGCCTTGAGCCCCTCGAGCGCGTTCTCACCCGCGTTCAACCCGTGATTATACTGCTCAATCGTCAACTGCGTAGCCCGCTCCACACTGCCAGTTTCCCAAGCCTCTTTCAAAGCCGCTCGTGTGACAATTGCCGAATCGGGTGAGATGGCTGCGATTTCATTCGCCAACTTCAACGCCTCTTCCACCACAGTATCTTGGGACGGCGATATGCGGTTTACGAGGTTGAGCTCTTTGGCTCTTTGTGCGGTGATGGGCCGGCCCGTCAACGCCATTTCAGATGCGACGGGTAAGCCTACATTGCGGACGAGACGTGGTGGACCCCCTGCACCAGCGAAGATGCCGCGAAGAGCTTCTGGAAGGCCGAATGTCGCGTGTGGTGCTGCTACCACCATGTCACTGTAAACTCGTCAACAAAACATAATCCCTGTCCCCAAGAAGAGAAAGCAGGGCTTACCAGCCAAGAACAATCTCAAACCCTCCGCCCAGCGCAAATCCATTAACAGCAGCAATAACCGGCTTTTTCCCCATCCTCCTACTCAGCCCTCCAAATCCGCTTAATGGATGTCTCATCAAGCCAGGACTTGCTTTCAGCTCCCCACTCCTAATCTTGCCGAGTTGAATCAGATCTTGACCTGCGCAGAAACTCTTCTTGCCAGCTCCTGTGACAATGGCAACGCGTAGATTAGGCTCGTGATCGAACCAGTCGAATACCAGGCCCATTTCGAGGTGGCCTTCAAAGGGAATGGAATTCATTTGTCTTTCGCGATTAATCGTGACGAGGAGCACATAGTCGGCTGGGTAGGAGAGTAAGACGTGCGAGGTGGGAGGTGGTGCTGTTTGGGGTTGGATGGATGACATGTTGGGCAGGACAGCGGCGCGTTGATAAAGATTTGTCGAGCAAGATTGCACTCGTTGTCGTCGTCGCTGTTCGATAAAGAATTGAAATATACAGGTAGCTTAGAGCCCCGAGAGTGGCATAAAATGTTACATGGTCGCCGATAGAAGGATGATAGGTAAGCTTGCGCGCGTTGAGCCGAGGTATCTTCCCCGCGTAACGCTAATGCGGCCACGTTGGATGGCCTCGTGTGTATTGCTCAATCACCATTGTCACCCAGCCCAATGCAGACATCCTATCGTATGGGACTGATAACAAACCTCCTCCATTACAATTTCAGGCGACATCAATGGAAGAGCCGGCCATAACAGTCTGGAGCCTTCATCTCCGTTTCCGTCATCTTATACTATTCCACTCGGTCATGGATCGCTTTCATTGATACTTCTGCTTATCGTGCTATGAGATGTAAAGATTCACGATTGGCCTCGCTCACAAAAGCATTCCACTACACACCCACCTCTTACCTTGGTCCTGCACCATACCTGCACTTTCACGTACGCCCGTGGCACAAACGACATTAAGACCCGCCAATTACCTAGTTCCATCATACTGGTTCTTTTAAGTTGCACAAGACCCACACGTACGTTTTCTTCTAAGCATTCACCAGACTCTCGGAGTGATCACAAGCGGCTCAATATATCGAGCACAGAAAGAGGAAAATAGAGGTAAATGTTGAATTGTTTTATTATTCCGTCGTATCCTAGACACCCGCCTCAAGGGTATCACAGCGACGTGACGTTACTCCTACTCCTTTTCGTATACCGCGCAGACGCGATGCATGTGTTCCACACGTCGTTGGCATAAATATCGTGACCATTTATTTTCCAGGTCGTAGATGCTGCAGTTAACTTTTGTGTTGACATGACAAAGTGGCTCACGTGTGAACGCTTGTTCATCATACCCACCTAGCTAGCCCATTCGCTACATGTTTTTTTTGTTCAAGTCTCCATACGCTGGTAGAACAAGATGTACGCCACCTTATTGTCGCGCACGTTCTCCTTGGGCAGTGGTGTCCTCCTACCCCCCGAGTTAGGGGTCGCCGCACCGTTGACGACGCCGGTCCACTTCTTGATGCCGTCCTTTTGCTTCTCCGTCCCGTTGACCTGGTTCCAACCTCCCTTGTCAGTTTCCTCCTCTTCCATGTCAATCTGGGCGAAGAAGTTTTTGCTCTTCCCAGCATCATTCTTGTGCTGCTCGAGAGCGGCAGCTAGGACCTTGGGATCCTCTTCGGCGCCGCCTTCTGCGACTTCTGCTGCGCGGATACGACGAATAATGGTGTCATCCATACGGATCCATTCCTTGCCCTCTTGTCGTCGAAGGTCCACGGTGTAGTGGCCACCACTCGCGTTCTTACCATGGTGGTACACAACGCCAGTGAGCCTGTAGCGCGGGAAGCCTCCCTGAGCCTGGTAGCTGCCTCGTTTGTGTGGCGGGAAAACCTCCTTGGGAAGCTCTAGCTCCAAGGGGTACCCAATCTTCTTCCAAATCTTTTGAGGTCCCTTTTCGTCGTAGTGGAAGCGCTTCAGATGGAGTATCAAGACTGGGGGGAGGGTCTCGATGTGTACTTGCTTCGTAGAGGCCTTGGCCCCCCGAGCCGCACCGTCCAATGTCTCCAGACGTGTCAGATTCTTTAGAGCATCAGAGATATTATTGATGTTGGGCTCGCCAATATCAAGTTGAAGCGGTTGGTACGGTTCTAGCGTGACGGAAGCCTTCTCGCCCGGCCTCTTATATTCTGACCGCAGCTTACCACCAAAGATCTTCGTGATAGGGCTCTCGATGTCAATGGCACCAGAGTTCTGTGTGATAGCGGTTTTCTGCTTGTGTCCGACTTCTTCCCAGCCACCATCAATGGACCCTGAGCGCTCAGTCTTGGGGGATGTGACGGTGTCTGCGGACTGGCTTTGCCTCCCACTCTTGATGATGTGCACGCACTCGTCGTGCAGTCCAGCAAGCAAGAACCCTAGGAACTCCTCGGCATCTTCTTGTTGACCCCTCTTCATGTTATCGAAGCGAGGCAGACGCTTAATGACGTCGTAAACGTACTCGGGCGTAAGTGGGTCTCCGTACTGCTCCAGCTCGTTACCCTTCAACCGGAGTCGGAGTTGATCGACGTTATCCGCAGAGTCGATAAGTCGAAAATCGCGTAGAAACATGATCATGGCGTCAACGAGAGGTGTCTCAGATTTGAAGCTATGGGCAGCGCGCTTCGCAACCTGATCGAGGAAGTCGTAGAAAGGAACGCAAAATAGAAGTACTTGGAGAATCTGGATGGAATGTCAGCAGAAGACGGAGGGCGATAACAGATCAAAACTCACAGAATTCATATAACAGAGGTTGCCCGTGTTTACTAGACCACGAGGCTCGATAAAGGAAACCTTTTTCCCTGAATCGACTGAGAAAGATGCCAGAATATCGGCGAGTGTGGTGTTCTTTGGCACTACTGGACCGTTGGGAGCAGCAACAGCGCCGTTGGGTACAGGGGCTGGCTGTGCCGCGGCGGGAGCATTCTTCGCTCTAAGCAACTCTGCCCATGACTTCGGTGCTGCCGGCTTAGGCGGAGATGCCTTTGGTGTTTCTTCAGCATTTGCGCCCGTGTCTGGTGTCGTTACAACTGCGTCTTCAGCCTGGATCGACTCCTTGTGAGTCGCGGCAGGCGACTTGACCGACTGTTGTGTAGTAGAAGCCGCACTTGGTGCTTTTGCGGATTTGACAGGAATGCGGGGTACGGCAGGAATCGTGGTGTTGCGGGCGTGTTTCTTGACAGCAGCTGAGGGCTGCGCAGGCGATTGCATAGCGGATGGTGTTGTGGTAGACGGTGTGGTAGATTGCGCCAAATCGGCTTCCGAAGGCGGATGTGAGGTAGACGGGGTATCGACTTCAGCGTCAGAGGGTCCCGCAATGGTCGAAGCCTGCGACTCTTCTGGTTCTTCAGTTGGAGTCAAATCACCCTCAGTGTCATGCCCAGATTCCTTCGTGTCATGCTCGTCCACAGCCTGCTCGCGTGAGGGGAGTGCCAAAGCCTGCTCTTCGGTAGACACCGGAGCTCTTCGCCTTCTCCGCCCTCGCGCAGCGCGCGCAGGGAAGTCCGAGTCAGGGACGGATAGCCAGGGAAGAGGCGGATAGAAGGGCTTGAATGCGATGGATTGTGGGGTGGTCGGAGCTGCTTGAGTAGACTTTGACTCAGCAACCGGGGGAGAGCTGTCGACAGTGGTGCTTGTCTGCGGGGTCGAAGAGGTCATTTGAGCATGTGACTGGAGTGAAGCTGTGGACGGCGCCGATTGGGGAGTGGGCATACGAGGAGCAGGCGGAGTGCGCGAATGGACAATAGGCGGCGTTTGACCCATGGCGCGATTGACTGGGGGTGCCATGTGCAGGTGCGAAGTAACTACCACGGGCGACGCATGAGGTTGAGGCTGAAACTGACGCGGAGGCATGGCGTACTGCGGCGGGGGCGGCGGTGGTTGCTGATACGGGTACCATTGCTGCTGCATAGGCTGCATGTGTTGGGGATAGCCGTGGGGAGGGCCATACTGCTGGAGGTGGTGGTAAGGGGCGGCATAGGGGTTGTGATGGACGGGCGAGTGTGTCTGGGGCGGGATATGGTGGTGGTAGTACTGCTGCTCTTGCCTTCTACCAGGCATATAAGGGCCGGGCATCATGAGCGGTAGACGCGGTGTTGCCTCCACAGTCGGCGCCGGCTGGAGACCAAGCAGCCAACTTGTGAGGCAACGAGGAGAGTGCGAGAAGGCGACGAGCTGCTATATGCCAGCGATGGCGCCCGGCGTGATGGGAATGGGCGACAATGCGGCGTAGAGATATTCGCGGATAATTATTTGGATGATGCGGTGCAGGGTCGCGCGACGGCTGTAGGCGAGGAGGGTTGAGGTGTGGATGGGCGAATAGACGACCGCGGGGTCATGGTATCAGGATGACATGAGCGCAGCAGAGGCTGCCCGCGAAGGAAAGACGTCGAGTGCAGAGGGTGAATGGAGATGAGGTTGTAGAAGAAGTCCTAAGCCGATCCGAAAGGGCAATCGCAACCGTCTGTGCGGAGACCCTGTCGTCAGAGATGGATGCTAAGGTTTACACCAGAACACCACCGAGATATTTGCTGTCCTGTATAGCCTATGTCTTGGGTTGATTGTAGTCGCGGACGAATGACCTTCCTTCGCAATGCACGCTTCGCTGTAGAGCACTTGTCTCAGACGTAGTAGGTGGGCGAGTTGGACCGCAAACCGCATGAACACGTGATCCGAAGTCGTCATGTCCATTACCTAGGCTGTCAATCGCCACTCCATCTTCTGATTCCTGTCCCCTCCAAGTCACCCTCTTGGGGACGCCAACATTCGCAGTTACACACTACAACACCCACATTACCTCTCCCCTTCTGGTTTCCTCTCCTCGCTGTCTTGACGTTCGTTCTATCAGTACCCGGAATCCCCTCTCGCGTTGCAGCCAAGCCGGACATCAGCCAGTATTGCGACAGAGCAGTATACGTAGTAGCTGAACAGACGGCTTCTCTTACCTGTCGTTGGAGACGCTCAGTCCTGCATCTGTTACCCTGGTCGTAGTTGCGGTTTTTCTCGCCAAAACAGAAACCCTCGCAGAACGTCGTCATCGTCATCGACGCGCTATCGTGAGCCCTTAGCTGGGAGTCATGTCTAGCAACCCACCCACCGCGTCCTCGTCCAAGGCTTCCGCACTTTCTGGACCCGCTTCACCCGCCCAGAACCAGACTCCATCCATCAGTACCAGTAGCTTCTTTGCGCAGCCGCGGGGTAGTGGCGCGCCGGCGCGATCATCACCCACTCCTCGGAATACGCAGCAGCAGAAGAAGCAGCACAAAGGCTCCAAGCGATTCAGGCAGACGGACGAGGATGCTATTGTCGAGTCTCTCGCCATGCGTCCATTCAATAATCGCAAAGGGCAGACGTCCATTACCCACCTTATGAACTTTAGTCTGCCGCCACGCCCAACCAACCACCAGTCGCATGGTTATGGAAGGAACTATCGGCGCAACCCGACCTGGGGTCTTGGCTCGGGCTACCATGCCGTCGACAAGGCCAGGTGAGTTTCAACGGCAGGAGAACCCCACGGAGTGCGCAACTAACATGATGTAGATATGTACACGCCAACTACCGCTTCATCGTAGACCCGCGCGGCGACTATCGTGCCCAAAGCGTCGATGCTGATATTCACCTAGACTGGAATAACGTCCTGCAGATATTGGCATCCGAGCTTTCACAAGAGGCCTCTTGCCCTATTTGCCTTGGGACTCCGGTAGCCCCGAGGATGGCCAGATGTGGTCATATCTTCTGTCTCCCATGTCTCATCCGCTACATGCATTCCGAAGACGAAGGCAAGGCCCCAGAGAAGAAGGCACGTTCGAAGAAGTGTCCGCTGTGCTTCGACACCATATACGCGTCCGAAACTAGACCAGTGCGCTGGTACACAGGACAGGAGGGTGAGCCTCCCCGAGAGGGAGGCGACGTAGTTCTTCGCCTGGTGGTTAGATCCGCTGGAAGCACACTGGCTATGCCCCGCGATGGAGCGGATGCTTTGAGTAAAGACGAAGATATCCCCTGGTACCATGCCGCCGAGGTCACCGACTATGCCCGCGTAATGCGAGGCGGGGAGGACTACATGTTAGAACAACTCGATCAGGAGATTTTGAAGCTGGAGCAGCAAGGAAAAGAAGATCAGGTTATGTTTGCCGAAGACAGCATGGAGTGGACGAAGAAAGCGATCAAGAATATACGAGATGCGAAAGAGAAGTTGAAAGGAATCGGAAACCCTCCGGAAGAACCAGCCAAACCTGCGGAACCGAAGGTGAAGAGGGCGCCAATCGTGTTCGACGAGGGTGCCGCACCAGAGATGTATACAATGCAGAACGCTTCCAAGTCTGGCCAAGATTTCACCCCAACACCAAACATCTCCGAGGTTGGCACCAGTCAAAGTAAGGACAGAACGGTGTCCATGTCATCACACTCTTCCGCAGCAAGTCATGGGATATCTCTTACACTTGCAGAGCTTCGCAATCGACAGCAACATGAGCACCACAAGACGCCGTCCGAGTATTTCTTTTACCAGGCGTTATTGCATTACTATTTATCGCCACTAGACATTCGCATTCTAAAAGCGGCTTTCGGCAACTTTGCATCTTTTCCTTCAACGATCCTTCCTCGCGTTGAGCATGTATCTACAGGCCATGTAGTCGATGATGAATTACGGAAGCGCACAAAATACCTGGCGCATCTACCATATGGCTGCGAGGTTGGTTTCCTTGAGTGCGATTGGACCGACACTGTCGCCCCGGAAGTATTGGAGCGCTTCAGACCTGAGATTGAGAGGAGGCGAAAGAAGCACACCGAGAAAGAGACTAAGGAGGAGAAGGCACGACAACGCGCAGAGAAGGCCGAGTACGCCGAGTTCGCTTCTGCGCGCAGAAGGCGTCCGAGCATGACCGAAAGGTTCTCTGCCGACGACTTCCAGCCTTTGGCATCAGGAAGCATGTCGGACGCACCGCCGGTCTTGGATGGAGACAACCCTTCAACGTCGCCGCCCTGGCCACAGCGCCGTGGCGATGGTTTCGCTTCGTTGGCTTCTCCTTCGTCAAGCCCGTCAGCGCCGCGGACTGTATGGGGCACTGCAGTAGTTGCTGGCACATCTCCAGTCTTCGGACCACAGGATCATCATGATGGCGATGATGGATGGCTCCAGGATTGGGAGAAGGATTTGCTTGCCGAGGAAGACATGATCGCTCAAGCACAGGCCATGTCTTTGGGCGAAAGCGAAGAAGCTCCGAAGAAGCAGCCTGGTGGGAAGAAGAAGAAGGGAAAGAAGATCACTTTGATGAGTACTAATGTAAGGAGGGGAGCATAGTTAGTTTCGTTAGCATCACTGAGTAGCATGGCGCGAAAGGGAGCAATGAAAGTATTTTTTTTATATGGATGATGCTGTGGTTCCCAGAGACTGATGCATTGGTAGTGGGTAGTTGGACATGTGCCTATTAAAACTATCCGATCACTCAAACTCAGCCCTGATGATGCACCTCCATTCGCAACACACATAGAAACATGCAACGCCTCACAACCGCGCATCTTCCCTAAATCATACAAGCACCACACGCCGCCGACCCACCCATCTTAATTGGCGGCCTCGAATCTCTCGCTTGCGCTACTCTCCCGACATCTCTACCTCCTCCTCCTCCTCGACTTCCCGCCCCAGGCCCAGCATTCCCCCGTCCATGCATACTGCCTTGGTAACTATCCGGTGCCGGTGGTGTGGCTGCCGGCCGGTAGAAGGAATTGTTGCCTGGTGCGCGATAAGGTGAGCCTCGTGCGGCGGCCCAGGTATCGAGGGAGAAGAGCGTAGTGAGGTAGAGAGCGAGGAAGGTGAAGAGTGTGGATGTCGTGGATGTTATAAGGGAGGTAGGAGACCTAGAGAGCCAGGTTGTTAGTGGGTTGGTGGATGCGAGTGATGGGGGTGGGGTGCATGTACTTGTGGCCTTCCATGTTGGAAGGTTTATGCTGTTCAAGCAACACGGTTCGATAAAAGTGGCTTATGCGACTGCGACAGTGGGGAGAGAGGAAAGGATGCGTCAAGGTGGGAGAGTCAGTATTGTGGTCAAGTCGCGCTGTCACAGTTGCCTGCGCGGCATTGCGGCAGGTCGCCTTAGGGCTGACGATGGCAGGGATGCGCGGGTGGATCTCGTGGATCGCGCTAATGCAGGACAAAAAGTAGCTGGCGAGCTTCGATATCTGCGACTTTCACCTCAACATCATATCACCCGCCTACTCACATCTTCCTGCGATTACATAAGTGATTGAAGAGGCCTACCGTGCGATCATTGTTACGACACCACCGACAGGAAGGCGACCGATCAGAACAAGAAAAAGATGGGACATTCCAACGATGATAGCAAAGTACGTTGTGTCAGAGTTCTAGGCAAAACTAAATCCTGACGTCGTGATAGAAACGCAAAGCGTCGGCATCTGTTGTCATTCATCAAAATTCTTACGACAACGCCAGTCCTACCAAGAAGAGAAAAGGCGAAGTGCAAGAACAACACGTAGAAGACATTGACACTTCAAAACCTACCGCCATCTTCAACCCAACCAAAGGCCGCGACTGGACCGTCACTATTGCCTTACCCGGTAGCTGGACTCTCAATGCTAAGAAGCCTGATCACAAGACCATTCAAGTTGGACGAATCGCACGCGCAGCTGCCATCTATTGTGTCGATGAAATCGTAGTATTCGACGATGACCCAAGCAATGTCGATGCTAGAGTCGTTGATCCAAAGTACATCCGCAAAGGACGCACTAAGCAACAAGTTCTTGACTCCATCATGGAACACGACGAAGCTTGGCAGAATCCAGACCAATTCCTCTACCACTTGTTGTCTTATGCTGAGTGCCCTCCTCATCTAAGGTATGACGCCGAGGATCCCCGGATGAGCATTTTCAAGGAACATCAGAATCTGAAATGGGTCGGTAATCTGCCGAGTATGGATATGCCGCATCATCTTCGAAGTCACGAGTGGTGTCGGTATCGCGAAGGCGTACTCGTCGGTCCTGCACCTCCACCCACTTCATCTACAACCAAGAGCAAGAAAATAAAGAAGTCTCTGTCAGACGACCAAGAGTACGCATACGTGAAATGCGGTCTGCCATACCCAATCCGTGTTCCTGTACCCAAAGAAGCCCCTGTTGAACAAGGCATGCGCACAACCGTCCGCTTTACAAACGCCGATCAACCGCCCAACTGGCCCCACCTATCCCAGCAAGAATGTGACAACCTGGATGCTACCGCGTGTGCGGCCAGCGTGCCCCGCGAAGAAGGAGGTTACTACTGGGGCTACACAGTCCGACGCGCCCCATCACTCAGCGCTGTATTTTCCGAATGTGAATACCCAGACGGCTACGACATGTCCATTGGAACATCTGAACGCGGTCAATCCGTCTACTCGCTCTTCTCCGGCACCAGCAACAAATCTGAATCGTCCACAGCAACAACAGCCAAGGCTCCGAATTCCTTCAAACACCTCCTCATCGTATTCGGCGGCCAGGCGGGCATAGAACCAGCTGTCGCCAATGACCCTGTTCTCGTGGCAAAGGGACTGGATAAGTCGATGGCGAGTGAGCTTTTTGATGCTTGGGTTAATTTGGTGCCGAGACAGGGAAGTAGGACGATTAGAACTGAGGAGGCTGTTACTATTGGGCTTGCGGCGTTGAAGCCTTGGGTTGATGAGATGTATGATGAGTAGGTTGGAGGGTTATATGGTACTGCTAGCTTTGAGTCAACAGGTGGGTATGCTACTAGTTTGAGGGATGCTATGTCTGTGTAGGTTGGCTGACATCGTTTCTGTATGTGTGTGGGAAAAATTGATGTAAATTGCCCAACAACGCGTCATCAATCTATCTCATTCGTTTTAATGGTTGATATATGAACATCACTGGCAGCCTGTACCTCGCCCATCATATTCTTCTTTCGTACCTTGGACGTTATCTGGATGCCATATGAAACATAGCTACTGATTCGGGTTTATAAACTACATCGGACGTTACTATCTCACGCATACTAATGTTGCTTCGTACAACGCGATGTAGATCGTGTTATTGCTAGGCAGCTACTCAATGCGAACCACGAGACCATCCCCACTCACATCACTTTCTCTTCATACCATGCATAATAGACTTTTGAGCTACGATTTCTTCGAGAAGCGTCAGGCTCGTGAAGGGGCCGACGGAATTGACTCAATTTTACTAAGATAGACTGTTTGATACATGACGGCAAGTGAATTGATAAAAGAACTCTCTTCGAATAGCCGGTTGCTGGAAGATTTTGTACAGTGCAATGCTCAGCAGGCCTCGCAGTAACTCTTTTACATTAGAAGTGGTACCTCAACGATGCTCGCGATGCAGGCTCGGTGAGAGAATATCCACTTTGCCACTTGTTCTCCATTTCCCACATCCGCACTTCATCTCGTACCCATTCCGTATCCAGCTTTACAAGGTGCCCTCGCCCAAGCACCTCTTGAGAGGGAATTCGTCGCCCGTGCAAAGGCTGATGACACCATCGACCCACTCCATGTTGTCGTATTGCTTAGAGTTAAACGAATCAGCCTGGTAGTAGGAGAGCTCTCCGTCACCGCCGATGCTACCAGTCCAAACGTTTCCACTTGCACGGTTGGTCCAGGGGTTGCTAACAAAAGCGCCGTACTTGTCCTTGGGGACCTCGGCTGTGATAGTCTGCGTCTGCGTCGTCTGCCATGACTGGCTATAGTCAACCGACATGGAGACCTGAAGGAAGTCCTTGACTAGCGTCAAAGTGCTGCTCATGCCAACCGAAATGGTGTTGCTGACGGAGAAACCCGAGGCGACGCTGATGGTAGTCGGTGCACCCTTGGTCACCTGACTCATCTGCACATCCCAACCGAGGAAACGAGAGTTGGGGTTAGGGATGATGATGCTGGTAGCCCGCTTCAAGTGCTTGTTGGCTGGCGAGACGGTCTCGTTTCCGGAGTAATGGTTCTCGTCGAGGTAGGCGGGCTTGGGAGGTACCACGCCGGACTTGCGCGCAGCGTCCAGCTCTTCAAAGTCGGATCTCTTCATCACGGTGAAACGTCCATTGCCGTGAAGGATAACGTCGTCGACGCCGATGCTGACGGGTGTGGGAGCAGCCACGATCAGAGCAGCGCTGGAAGCGAGGGCGAGGAGAGGAGTGAAGTGCATCGTGGCGAATACACAGATTATGTTCAACGAATGTGGGAATGTCACAAAAGGAGTGAATGAGCGACTGTGAGGTGGTGAGACAAACTCAATCGCCAGGAAGACTAGCAGTACTTATTGTCGAGAGATGCCAGTTACTTAGCAGCACATTGACCGTCCCGGCGGTACTACTAATCGTGACATGGAGTCTGAGACGCGATCTGCATAGTTCAGTATTCTTTCAGGAAACCAACGTAGACAAATTACTTGGCAGGGAGTGATAAAGGATTAATGGTGGTGGAGTGTTCGTATTCAGATAGTATATTCAGGTGCAAGGCTGATTGGCCGCATAGTCATCCGGTGATTTGCTGTCTCCAACGGACAATAGTTCCTTCATGCCTAGCAACGTGTACCCCTCAAGGTTTCTCGTTCCTGCAGCGGAACTTGCCAGGCCCGATATTAATTGATGTGGTCCCTTGTGTACCAGAAACACGCTCGCCTCGTTCTTTCGGGCCGAAGCGCATGACGTACAAACAGGTTCCGGGTTCTCGGCACCCACCTGCAATACTATGGGGTATTGGGGTCCTGGATCTTAGTAGAACGCTTTGATAGGTAAGCGGTTCGGCTCACTTGCCGACTGGAACTGGAGTTGGGGTGTATTGGTGTATTCCTGCGCGCTTCCTCGATACCGTGGTGGCCCGACCACGTTTCACGACGAAGTGACATTCGCCACAATTACACCGAGAACGGGCGAAGGATTCTGGCTGTGTTTTTACACACTCAGGTGATGATAACGAAAGTAGGAGAAGGGGGTGAGTACTATTGTCCGGTTTTGACTATTTATCCCGCTTCTGCACCTTGTTTTCAAGGTCACCAAACTCTCGCTCTTTGAGTCTTGTATATACCCAGTATCCACACTCGCTTCTGTTGTTAACTTCGCTCTTTTCAATCGCTTCCAAATCCTAAAACCACCATGCGTTTCTCAGTCGCCGTCTCCGCTCTTTTCGTCCTCATGGGCTCGTTCGTCAACGCCGACCTTCACAAGGAGGGTCTCTGTATTGACAAAATCGGCGGCCAGTACGTGTATAACGCCGACGCAACAAAGAAGGCATGCGATGCATACCTACAGCGAAACACTGGAGACAAGCAATGGGACAAGTGCCCTGACTGCAAAATGGTAAGGCTACCAATCAATGACTACCGAATCCTTTAGAAACTAATAAAATGTAGACGGAAGTGGGCAAGCTGAACCTCTGTCAGTCGCTAGAAAACCACATCGGTGGTGATGAGTTGAACTACTACTGCACACAAAACGGTGCGAGCGACTCATTGGCATCTTAGAGATTGGGATAACGAAATCGGGTTTGGTGACCTGACGGGACATTTCCGATATCGTCTTGTTGCAGTGTTCGATGGATACCATCTCGTAAAACATCCTTGGGCATGGTTAATGTAATCCGATAAACAAAGTACCTACCACATAAGCACAACCAACCCATCTTGATGTTCGTTAAGTGCCGTGATGTGTATATTGTTGCGATTTTGCCTGGGCATGCGTGTCTCCTACTTATCATCACTGTGAAGCTCGGGACGCAATCGCAATGCCCTAGAATGACATTAGCATCAGTTTCTTTCCTATCTTGTAGACTTTCAAGTTCGCCATGGACATTGTTTTCATGGCATACATGTTGTGATTATTAAAATCATCCATCGCTTGACCTGGTGGTATGAGATAACATTAGGAACATACTATATATCCAAGAATGAACTCATAGCGTAGGTCGACTGGAACAATCATAGACTGACATACCCCAAGATTGCACAGTCTATATCATAGACTTTGAAGCAGCTCTGGAAATGGCAAAGTTCCATCGCGGGAAATGTACATGCATGCCTTTGCTGTTACGGATAACAACTTCGTGTACTGTAAGACCAACGATGGTCCCAGCAGTCTTACCCATCTGTCCGTAGTCCGATGGAAAGACTTCGACCTCGTCGCCTTGTTTGAGCCTGTGCGAATTGACATCGACGAAGACAATGGTTTCTGGTGAGGTAGTGGCTTCAAGAGTTCGTTTGCCCATCGCTTTCCCATCTAGCGCACTTGGCTTTGGTATCTGCTCTTTCTTCTTGTCCAGTTCTGTCACGAACCTCTCCACCCACGCGAACACCCTCGGATACGTTTTAGCGTTGAAGTGCTCCGCGGGAAGACTGTCTTCCATTTTCGGGTCCGAAATCAACCATTTGATGGGCCAAACAGCGTCGATATCTGCTAACGACGGCTCTTGCGTGTTCAGAATCCAGTCTCTACCATCGGCAAGGAAAGTGGTTTCCAGCATGTCAAAGGCTTGCTGCAAATGCTGCGCGCCGTCTGGTCGCCCAGCCTCCATTCCTTCGGCGGTAAACCGCCTTCCCATGAGCTTCGCGCGATCATCGATGAATGCCTTGTTCGAAAGAAAGCTTGCTTCCTTCCAATATGGCATCATCTTCACGGCGTTGGCAAAGATACCGCCATCAACCGTCCAGCTTTCGAAAAGCTTCGTGATACCGATCTCGGATGGCGTGGAAGGTGCGAGAGCGCTGTTGGGGTACAATGACTCCAACTTGGAGATGATGAGCCGAGAATCGCAGTATACGTCTTTTCCAATAGCAATGATAGGGATTTTTCGGTAGCCGACGCCAATGAGTTCAAGATCTGCACGTGGCATGAATGCAGATTGAATCTAGAAGTACCATCAGCAACTCGATAGCAACTAGATAGATGGTACGCACGCATTCATCATAAGGTATGCCGCGAAGCCATAGATACCATAGCACTCGATGGGAGAAGATCGAACCGTCGTAGTGAAACAATATCGGCTTCTCAGTAGAGGCCATGTCGAAAGCGAAGCGTATGATGTCAAGAGATCAGAGACAGTGCCTGTGCCGTGGCGATGTATTGGAGTTTATCTAGCAGTAGTAGCGCGGGGCGACTTATCTCTCAGTCTACCACCCCATCCCATGATGTCAAGTCTAACTCGCCTTGATTCAATATCGCGAACCGAGGACCTATCAATGCCACAAGGCGTTAGAAACGCCCTGATGAGGTTGTTGCAGTATCGGGCGTCACGACAACGATCGAGTAAGCTGGCGCGAAAGCGTGGGGAAGGTGCCTCGGCACACATCGTTCGGCAGACATCCCGAAGGGTCCAGGTCTCTGATTGGTTGGTAATTCACGATCAAAAGACGGGCAGTACCCACACACTTGCTGCATTGGCGTGACGACGAGACTAACATCATGCATACCGACGGTTCATTCTCTCACTCTGCTTTCCTACAAGTCGAGATCAGACGCAGGTGCCGCGCCCGGCCATGCGTCGTTTTGGGATGAGCAGTATGCCAAAGCGGAAGATAGCGCTAAACCCACTCACAAATGGATTCGGGGTTCCGGATCGCTAGAGCGTTTCTTCGCCAGACAACTTCTTTGAACAGGGGAGCCGAAGACTGATCGAAAGATTTCGCACCTTGATAGTGGTGGCAGTGTATGTGGATCGTCGCATCTTTTGACTGCTACTAAAGACTGAAACACGGTGCCGTACGGTATGCTCAAAAGAGTTTTCGACAGCTGATTATGTTTGGACTGTTCTTCTGTTGCTGCGAATATAATAAAGTCGCGTCATGCATTAGAGTCAGGTGTGGCATGGGCGAACGCGGACGTGAAGGGGATGAAAGACATCTCGTCCAAAAGCACTGATATAGCTTTCGACAATAGTGCTACGGTACCATGGTCTTTGATGGCCCCTAGGGTCCACCTGAGGAAGTTCTGGAAAACAGCAAAAGGTGTATGAAACGGGTCAGTCTTTACTGTTCTAAGCTCTGACTGTCGTCAAATGAACTAGTGCTGATCATCATCCCAGGTTCAACGAGTGTTGAAAAATGATGGGTTCTTGTATATAACCTTCACCTTGTCATGCTTGATGGCATCGAGCGACGAACCCTCCTGAATAGCTGGCGTATTCTGGTGCCGCTTCCAACACCATGCAAGAGCGACTGGTGATTGGACCGGCACATCCGCTGGACCCTTCCCCGCCAGTGTCGACTCCGCCCGTAAGATGCGCCCTATATGACGCCACACAACCAGGGTAGCTCACACGCCTCAAGTAAGCTGGACTTTGGCACTCGCTGTCGTGTCCTTTACCCCTCTTGCTCACTGCTACTGTTCAAACATGCCTACGATCACGCTCTGGTTTCTCCAAGCATCGCGGTGCATACGCACCGCATGGTTATTGGAGGAACTGGGACTTGACTATGATATCAAGTTCTCCGACAGAGTGAACGGAAAGGCGCCAGAAGACTTCAAATTTGCGTCGCGTAATCCTTTGGGAAAATTCCCCACGCTCCAAGATGGTACCCTGACTGTTTATGAAAGCGGAGCAATCAGCGAGTACGCAAAAACTGACTGCACTCTGCATCTGAATCCTGACAATATGCAGCTATCTATGCGAGACATACGATAAGGAGGGTCGTCTTCTACCCCACGATCCCAAAGAGCGCATCAAAGTCCGCCAGTGGATTCACGCTGCAGAAGGCACGTTCTCGCTTCACGCCCTCGCTATCCTCTATGCGCGATCGCACATCCCCAAAGACGCACCTGAGGGTCTGCTTGAAGCAACCGAGAAGAGCATGTCGGCTAATGTGCAGAACGATATGTCTTGGCTTGAAACTGAGTTGTCGCTCTCTCCAGGCAAGTTCATCTGCGGTGATCATGTTACCGCAGCGGACGCCATGATGCAGTTCACAGCCGAAGTCATTGTCGCGAGGGAGCTAGGGACGCAGGGCAAGGAGTATCCGAATGTTAACAAGTGGTTGGATGCTTGTAGGGAAACCGAAAGCTACCAACGCGCGTTGAACAAGACTGGACATAAGCTCTGAAACCCTCATCATGAAGGCAACGCTTCATACATATCTCTTCCCAGATATTCTTATACGATTGTGCACTTGTTCCTACTGTTCCAATGAGTAACGCGTGGAGCTTCCTCAAACTGATCGATCGCTGCGTTGCCCAGATCTACAGTGAGTGGGCGGTAACAATCATCCTCTATTTAACGATATCAATGTTTGAAGTACACGTGCATGTTCATTAGGACTCACGACAAACGGGGAAAGAAACTTGTATTCGTCATTACAGATTGAACGCTAGAGCCACAAACCTCCACTCGCATACTCATGAGATGGTTCGCTCTCATCGTGGAGACGGTGGCTGAATAGTGCCTTTCCAATCTCAGAACCCAAGACCTCCGGGATCGCAAGAGAGAAGCTATCGGTGCTTGTATTCAAAATGCAAAACCCGCTACGCTTGATTCTCACTACGCGCCAACGTACCTCGGTCGCTTGTCAAAGTGGACCAAGATACCGGTACTAGCAACGAGCGGATGTTATGACCTGCTATAGTTCACAGTCTATTCAAGTGCCATAAGGAACGATACCCGCTCTTATAGAACTGCAATACAAACGTATGATCATATATTGATTAGGTCGTCTCGTTACCACACAAGCATATCTAGACAGGCATCCGACTGCAGGAGCTGAACATGCTCACTCATGCCAGACTACTGATCATCTTTGAGCCCAATCATTGCCAAAGAATCCCCCCAGAGCCTCGCCTCGATCTTGGGATCGTAAGCATGACCTGCGAATCCCACACCCGAGATCTCGTGGTTGTCGTTTCCACGGGTCGTCTTCCCACACTCAGCAAGATACTCTCCGCCCTTGTTCTCCCATTCTTTTCCAATAGCAGCCCATACCGTGGTTGCAGCGCCCTGCTCTGGCGATTTCATCTGTAACCAAGCCTCCTTGTTGTTCTTGAAGGCTTCGAGCATCGCGGTGTCCAAGTGCTGCATAAGTCCCGTTTGGATCATACCAGGATGAACGGCGGTCGCGTGAAGGCCTCGAGATCCGTATCGTCTCTCAATCTCGTTGGTCATATAGATGTTTGCAGTCTTTGCTTGCCCATAAGCAACCCAATCCTTATAGTCAGTCTTTTCAAAATTGTAGTTCCCGGATTCATTGATGGAGGCCACGTGATGGGCCGAAGAAGAAAGGTTGACAACTCGAGATGAGAGCTCAGGCGTGACGCTAGCAAGGAGAGCTGGCTTGAGCAGTTCGAATAGCAGGAAGTGGGCGAGATGATTAACCCCAAATTGCATTTCGAAGCCGTCTTTCGTCTTCTCTAGCGTCTGGAGAGCCATGATACCAGCGTTGTTGATCAGGATATTCACCTGATTGTTCGACTTCTCCAGAATGTTCTTCGCGGCGCCACGCACACTTTCCAAGGAAGTATTGTCCATCTCAACGAGTTCAACGCGCCCAGGCTCGAGGATTCCGTTCAGAGCAGTCTTGGCTTTTTCCAGGTTTCTTGCAGTTAATAACAGCTTTGCTCCCGTCAAGGACAGGGCACGAGCAGTCTCGATTCCAATTCCAGAGGAAGTGCCTGTGATGACGATGACTTTGCCAGCCAGCTTGCCCTTGACTCCTTCGTCCTGGACAATCTGGAGCGCAGTTGGACGATCGTCTCCTGGGCCAGAAGGGTTGGCATGGGCTTCAGCATATCGGGACATGGTGGTTTATGAATAATTTGGAACTTTTGTGTTTGGGAATGATAGTGATGAGAGTAATGACGATGAAGTCTTGTAATTCACCCTTTGAGGGCAGCTGCTAACTATTTATGCTTTTGTCTCAGGTTCAAACCTTCAGAATCATTTGGAGCGCTTACATTTCCTACACGTGGTCGGACTAATAGACATCCGTGGTGGAGTAACTTTGACATCGCAACGGATGTTGTGTCGGTGTTAGCAAGGTTGGTCATGTTTTGGATTTCAAAGCGGCCGAGTGCAGAATTAGAGCACTGTTCTCCAGATTTGCTCCTTCGCCGATAGGCTTGTCTCTTTTGAGCAGCTAAATTCGCCAAGGAGTAACCGGATCGGCCCGACTACGGCCATGGCGAAAGGACATTCCTTGATGATCTGGTCTTCACCTTATACAATGCGTCGGGCTTTAATGTCTACATACTATCGTAAGCATTGGATATATCATCTCAGAAAAATGGTGGAACGTGCTTTAGGTTACACACTTCAGGAGCCCGCTGTAAGTGCCTGCTGGGCGTTACAAAAGTGTGTTGAATATGTGATCGATGAGGCTAAATCTAAGTGTAGAAGAGCTAACCCAGTATCTAACTATGCCACTTTCATGACTGCTGCTGCTGCATCGTAATGTTGTACCGAGTTCAAGTGAACTCCACTGATTCAATGGCCAAACTTCCCTTCTGTCGTCCCTGGTGCTCTATAGCTCGGATCTACTGTGTCTTCAATAGCGAGCTGCGGGAGTACTGCCCTGTCATTACTGGGGAATTTCACGTAGCCTTTGCCCCTTACAAACGTTGCTAATGGCACCCCCTGCCCATCTTTCTCCGCTAGCTCCAGGAAATATTTTGCATGACCAGGTCCCGAAATATGAAACATCGCCTTTCCTTCTGGTGTACGCTCATCAACGTAGTAGAAGCGGTATCCCTTGGATACGAAGCTGGGGGTAGCAACCAACGTCTGAATCATATACCAAGCGCTAGATTTCCCGATCCCCAGCATAAGGAACTCAGGCGTGATCTAGAAATGTAAGCACATTCCAACTCTTGGGGAAGATATCCTCGAGACTCACTAGTGTGTTATCATTGTTTCCAGTGTAGATGAAGGTCTTTTTTGCATCATGAGGGAGCTTACTGAAACTGGCTACGGCGGCTTGAGCAGCAGCGTAAGCGCTCACAGTGTTAATTGTGAGATCTTTCTGGAAATCCTTGAGTAGTGCCGAGACTGGGTTTGCAAGGTTGGGACCTCTAGTCCAGGAATAAGCTGCATTGGAGTAAGCTACTGATATCGAGTAAATATGATAACAAAAGGCCCGCACATTGCCAGAGTTGTCAACAATCAAGCCAATCTGCAATCAAGCCAAATGTGGCCCCTGCTCACTAGCCTTGTCGATCAGCCACGGGCCTATAAGAGAGACGTGCCATCCCTCTATCTAGGTATAGCTGTACCTGTATATTCTAGGCCGCTAGTAAGCAGGGGCCACATTTGGCTTGATTGCAGATTGGCTTGATTGTTGACAACTCTGCACATTGCACGTCGTACTTGCAACACCAAAGCGCAGTGGATAATGACTAGCGGTGGCATCTTACATGGCCACATGTGAAGAAATCAAGACTTACGGTTGTAGATTACAACGTTAGGTACTCCTAATTCCTGCTCAACCTTCTCGAAGATGGCCCCTATCATGCCCGGATCGCTGAAGTCAGCGGTCAGACACAAATCTGCATGCGCTTTAACATTCGGTCTGACTGTGCGAGCAACAGCAGCGATCTTGTATCCTTCACTCTTGAAAAGAGACAGCGTTGAAGCCCCAACGTTCGGTCCTGCACCGAGTAGGAGGAGCGTTTTCTGGGCCATGGTAACAATAGTGAATACTGTGACTTTGATAAACGGGGACTTTTAGAATAGCGTGAGAATGAATCGTGGAAGAATGATCGAGTTGGACAACGTATTGAAGATGGCCAGGAAGCATGTTTTCTTATATGCATGTAGATCTGTACGTACATAATAGCTTCAAGGTTCAGAACTACGGTCGGAATTACAAAGCATAGTGAGATAACTCAGAAGCTCCCTCAGGTAAGCTAGCAGAAGCTAGACTTGTGGGTAGCCAACCTCTCGCATGATACATAGTCTCTTGGCGGAAGTCGGTACTACGAACAGAATAGCTCACATTGTCTAGCATGTCTTGGCAAACGCATTGACCTGGAACAGGTCAGACTAGCGACAAGGTCACCAGGGTCGCCATGAGGAGCTCATACGAAGGCCAGATTCCAGCGCCATTTGCGTCACAATAGAGTACTTCGCGTGCGCTTACCACTTCACACGTAGACCTTCGACGCTCTTCGGCATTGGTGGAAAGTCGGCAGATAGACCATCTTCACCAATGTACTTCTCCTTGCATAACAAGCAAGTCGAGCACAGGCGCTCCCCGACCGAGTATTCACTAAGCCAGATTCGGCCTTGAGAACTGTATAGCAGAGTCGCTATGTCGGTGAACATGTTCAAAATAGGCCTAGCTTGCAGGTCGGTATCGTTGAACAGATGTGGCTGGGCGTCGAAGAACTCGTCATCCGCATAAGTATCATCGTCGTTGTCGTTCATTTGCAACATTCCGGTTTACTCTTGAAACTCTTCCGATGTTTTCGAGTCTTTTCGGATTTTGTCGCAGACACAGTCCGAGTTGTGACCAGATTTGACGCATTCTGTGACGGCTATGTAAGGGTGCGATGGGTTGACCATAAGTGCAAGGTATAACAGTAATGAATTCGATAGAGAAGCTACACTACGCTTGCGCTGAGTCTATGTATCACGTAGTGCTAGGTTCGAGAAACTTCTAAGGGTCCGTGGAGCGCCGATGAAGCCCCGACAACGCTCCGAGGGTTGCAGCCTATCCCAACCAGCTATAACGAAGGCCACAGGCCAAGTACTACTAACCAAGGCTTCAGCCTCTTACAGGCTATACGCGCAGGTTCGACCAATCCGCAAGCAAATGAACCATAGTCATCATTGCAGGATGTACATACAGTGCTTGGGAGGCCGCTAGCACTTACGTTGTGTGAGCCACTTTTCGCTTGAGTTAATGCACGGATGAATGCATGTCGTGTCATGCCAAGTTGGCATAGATAGCGATCAAGCTCTTCCCGCATATAAGCTCTCAATTGCTCAATGCAGTCTAGTACTGCGTTACACCAAGCTGAGTAGATAGTCGGCAGTGCTTGCACGAATTGCCGATGTGTTAAGTTATCCTCCATCCAATCAAAGCCCTTCATCTGCAGGAATGAGCCGGCATTCACTACCATTGGCAGGACTACTCGACCGCTTACGCGTAGAGCAAGCCAAGAGCCTAGGGCGACTAGATGTGTTTTGCTGAGATTCAAACGTTCGTCGTCAGAGAGACTGAGAATCTGTTCGAGGAAGTTGCTGTGGCGCGCATGGTTGAGAACCGATCTCATTCGCGTGTTGCAGGGCTGACCAGATATTGCGCGCACTGAATTCGACATATTCTTCATTCACGGTAAATTGAAGTAGCCACGTGATGCTGTTCCGCGATATTGGAACTCGTTCCCTTGCGTATGCTCTCTTGAGCCAGTCGTGAACAGACCAACCGTCACTGTCAGCGTTGGCTATGTCAATGCATTCGCAAAACAGTCTGAGCATGGCGATCTTGGTAGCAGCGTGCTCGTCAGTACAAGATGCTATGGGAAGCGATATCGGTGACCTGATTCTCTTAGCAGCGCTTCCGTCATTTGACATTGAGAACCTACAGGATCGCCTCGGAAGGTCCTTCGTACACCAGTGCGGGCTTGTCTGCGCCTCCCTTGATCAGCAAAGCGCAGAGGTCGACGTGACCTGCTGCAGCAGCAAAGCGGCTAGGGTCAGCGTTCTTATCTCGACAGAGTCTTCTACACGGACGTAGCATCTTACGTGCAGTGGCTTCCACCCCTTTGGGCTCGTGTCTACTACGCTTGCCATCCCTTTCTCCAACAGTGCTTCTACAGCACGAGTTTGACCGGTGCGACAAAGCTCGAATATCAGAGAGTCATCGGAAACAGGACGAGTCACTGTTATGTTACAATTGAAGAGCCAGCTCCGACCCCCGGATACTACAACAGCCTCAAGGCCAGTCTGGATGCCCATATACTGCAGCCATGTTGTAGGGTAAAAGATCAGCGATCGGATGATCTGGACTTCCTGCGTTTCTTGAAAGATTCGTTGTGGTGGTGAAGGGTTGTTGTGCGTAGCCAAGCACATCTGAGTGCAGTCCGAAATGTTGATACATGGTGGTTTACGCGATACTGCACGTTCTCGGCATAGACAAAAGTCTTAGGCCGCAGCTGTCCACATTTGTCAATCGTATAGCCGTCTTGTGCAAAGATCTCCATCGATGTTGACTCGAAGGTGGTGACCGCAGTTTGTGCGATGGCGTGCAACATGAGTTCCTGTACTCCATAATCAATCAATCAGTGCTCCGTTAGCATTTTCCCGAAAGGTTGCAGTGCATTCGATGTGGATGAAGACGTGATAGAGCGAAGAGAAAGCTGTCCGATGAATTTTGAAGGGACGCTCTGCACTGCCGCCCAGGTAGACGCGTCTTCAATCCCGGGCAAACGAAGTGGGCCTCTTCGAACGGCTCTGGGGGCACTATGTCGCTCAATCTCTCCAAGCACTGTGACTTTTGTCGAATAACGGGAGGAGCGAGCTTGAATCACGCTTAGTATGTATAGTTAGCAATCCACTCTTTGTATGCATTATATTCCACTGTACCTTTCGTAGGCCATAGCCAATGTGAGTGTCGAATTTGTATCGTTCAACGAGTCGCGAAATCGTTGAACATGTTTGCTGTGAAGGGCAGCTTTGAAGGCCGTACATACTCATTTCCTCCACGACAGCGATTGAATACCGTCATCAAATCTTTCAACGATGATTGTAAGATCCTGGGATGATCAGCCGCAGCTTACGTTCCCAGATCAATGCACTTACTGCGATCTTGGCACTATAGTGCTCTACACCTTCTGCTAGACAGCTGCCAAGATGGTTGCCGTGAAATTCGACTATTTTGAAAACCGAGATTGAGTAGCGTAGATTCTCCTTGATGGCAATGATCTCCCGAGGAGCATCTTCGACCGTCTCCCAAAATGTGTAAAGTTTGATACACGCCTTGGTAAGCTGAAAAGCCACAGAGATGACAACGACACCTAGATTCTGTCAGTAGGAGACAACTAAGTCGGTCCTCAAAAATACCGTTCGCCGCAATCGAAAGCCCTTCCATAGACGTTGCAGCTTGATGCTATATTGAGAGCGGTCTGATTGGAACGTATATCGCAGTGATCTTGCCGCAGTACAGCGAAGGGGCGAAGTTCACTCACATCTTAGCATCATTTGCAAGACCCGCCCACAAGCTCGAAACAACTTCGATGTGCGGGCGACGGCTTGTCGATTATGCCCGAGTTCAGGAGGCTGAGTTGATCGACCCTTCATCGCGCTACGGTTCCGCCCCCACAATACATTTGCGGGTGTAGCCATCACGTACCGGGTGCTGAGGGCGTTGCGACCTGTTTCAGGAAGCTCTGGAAGACGAAGTTAACATGCAATAGGTTTGGAGCATCGCGTGGCGCCAACTTCAATAAGATGAACGAGAGCTGAGTAGGTGGAGGCACGGGAAGGGCCAGTGCACTAGCGACAAAAGGGACAGCGATCCGCATCTGTTGACAACCACCAGTCACCACCCCATCTCGGTTGAGCCTATCATCAATTCCATCGACAGGCATCAAAACCAAAGAGTCATGGCCGTGCTTTGAACATTTGCTATCGGAAAAACCTCTACAACTTGCGTTCAGCTCGATGGTTCCGCGGACGCGACATTAGCACTAGACATCCGTATACTATACGGTACGGGCTGAACCAGCCAATGCAGATGCAGGTCTTTGCAGACTTTAACAAGGAGATCACGAGATGGTTATATCACTAAGAACGTGTCTTCCTTCCCTTACGCCCTGGTCAATCTCTCCATCCATGATCCCGTAAACGAAACACTCTCCGATTATCTCATACGTGAGACATTCCGGCTTTTGCTGGCATCGTGGCCTTAACACAAGAGGTACAGCGCAGCCTCCAATGACTGCTATAGCATCGCCTCTTTGAATCATGTTAGGCGTTATCCCTACGAAACCCGACATGGTGGTGACCAACCGTCTACTCCATAGAAACCGGTCTACCCGCCCGGCAGCTTCATTGTACGTTTTTGAATCTTCACGTAAGATACCGAGACTCTTGAGATGTGATTCTAGCGGTTTCCCGTTGATTCTTATCTTTGCGTTCCGTGTCCACCAGAGATGAAGATTGTGCTGAACGCTAATGATATCTCCGCTACCATCAGACTCGAAGGATAGACATGAGCTGTCGAGAATGCCAATATCCAGTATACAAGCATACTTTGCAGGTGCTCGCTCGCCCCCATAATCTCGATTTCCTACCAGAGTTCTCCAAATTGCTTCTGTAAGGGCTGCGTCGTCGCCATACGGGTTGCTGTCACAATCTGAATCGAGGAAATCGGCAAGCTTATTGAAGTCATCATCCCAATGGCGCCGCCCAGTAAACCCATCGATTTTGTCGACAATCACGCCGCGCACGACGAGGTCGGTACTTTTAAAATGGTAGTGCGCTCTCATGTCTCCGTTCGCGCGATATCGACAGTGGTAGTTGCTTGTCTGCAGCTTGATCTCTTGCGACAAGTCAACCGCCCACGAACAATGCGCCCCTTTGTCTTCGTTTTGTGCGCCAGTCCCTCCACAATTACCAAGAAGGTTCAGGTCATTCGTGGTTTCGATCCAATTCCTAGAGAAATCCGCATACACCATGTACAGGTTGCATTTGTAATCCGCAACGATTTGGGAGGCAAGGTCCTCTCTAAGAAGGGCTAACATGCCGTAGACTTTGTCTCGGAGATCTTGGCATTCTGCCATGCGACAGCGTGTGATGAGGCATCTTTGGTAACTATCAGTTCTCCTCGCGTCAAGGCTTTGAAGCCTATGGTAATCGTCGAGTAGTTTCCAATGATAATTTGGGACGCGTTCGTAAGCCATCTTGATGTCATCGTGGCTCATGATCACATCTCGGAGTACATCCTTGAACGTATCGTCCTCTAAGCCATTTTCGAGAATACGGAGGCATTGATAAACCCTGCGCATGCGTCCCCAAGTCGTAGTCTTTCTACCGCACAGGGCCAAGCTTCGATCGCAACTCATCGCTAACTCTTGTATGATCCACAGGCGAGAGAAGTATGGCCGACACACAAGATCCTTCAGGTTTTCCCACACGGTGCATAAGCGTTTAGAAGTCAACATCTGACTTAAAAATTCTGTCGTCGCTTCGAGACCTCGCTCTCGAGCCTCACACACCCCATTGATGAAATCAAACGCCTCGTCACTGCCGGCAGTCGCATCTCCTAGCCACTTCATCACGCACCAACTCTTTTGATAGATCTCCCCCATCTTAGGAATCACTATGCTCTTCTCCTTGGTATCCGTTTGGTTGATGCACATTGCATCCACCCATACCATGCACCCTCTCTTTACGAGGTCTGTCTCGCGCAATGCTTCTAAGGCCTTCTGGAGGTTTCTTCGTACTGTGATCTTGGTTTCATTAACAAAAATCACTTCTTCATCATGAACGCTGCCCCAAGTATAACTCAAAGCGAGAAAGGCGTTTCCGTTATCCTCGAGGGTGGGAGTTGATGACGACCGATAGTTTTGAATGGTGCGGTGATGGAGCTCACAGTGTATATTTTCGGCTAGATGAGAATCTTGTTCCACTCCAGGTTTAACTCCTGACAGATCACCGAACGGCTGTAGAATTGACAATAAACGGATTTCTCCTTCACCAAGTGGTCGATACTCCATTGTGCAGAGCTTTTCAGCACAAGTTAGATCTGGCGGGCTGCGCAACGTTATAACAACTACAATCCATAATACAAAGCTCTAAAGATAGGCTTGCGTTTCGCCTCAGGGTAAGATGTTGGTAGCGCTGCGCGAAGCACTATTGGTGGGATTTCTGTCAGGCTCTTGAATCCTCGCATTCTGCCACGAACGACTCTCTTGTAAGAGCGAAGGCACCTGGTTCATTGCTTCAGTTTGATTCGCCAGCCTCGTCAAGAACACCACCGCCGGTAAGTCTAATGCGGCGATGCATGCAGCCGTTCGTAGAAAGTGCTCAAGGTGTGCTGGAGAGGTGTACGTGTGCCTTCATGTGTGCTGGTTGTGTTGTCTGAAGCTGATTGGAAGAGGTTGACCATGGACTACACAGCTACCAGGAACAACCTTTACCATACCCCGTCTGTCTACACAGGTTATGCCACCGTGTTGGGACACCAGCGACGTCCAATCCATGCTCTAGTTCTCGTAGTGGGACACTCTAGAGGCTCATAGTTGTTAAGCACGCCGTAGAGGGAGTTTTGAAACGAAGACGACACTTATGTTCCCACGTCATACACTGTTCGCACAACACGTTCTTGGAAATAAACCATGCATTAGGTCGATTACACGACATGAGATGTACGTGTGTCAGAAACACACTCCTCATAAAGTAGTCAGCCATTTCTCCAACGCCTCATTGACCTCCTTCGGCTTCTCCAATTGCACCCAATGCGCCGCCTCAATCGTCTCATATGTCAAGTTCTTCACATACTGCTTTTGAACCTCTGCCATCTTCGGGGCCACACTAGGCGAGCACACACTATCGTACTTCGCATCGATAAACAGCATTGGAAACTCCAACACACCACCATTCTTCTGGCTCTTAGCATATTCGGCATTGGCTTTGTGGTTGAGGTAGTACGCAGTCGCCCCAAAAGACCCATGCTTCTTCTTGCTCTTGAGCAGGTTCGAGTAAAGCGACTCATCAAGCGACGTGTATTCAAGCGGAATATCAGGAAGCTGCTCGGGATGTCCACCGAACCAGCCTCCATCCCTCAGAACCCGACTTGTGGCTGATGGTTGACCCCACTTGCTAGGGTCGGCCTTCATGTATAGGATCTTAGTGATGACTTCTGGGTGGCCGTCAAATGCCTTGACGCTCTCTTCGGGGTACAACTCGTAGTATCTCATGTATTCCCACTGGCCCCACTCGGTCTCGCTTTCAGGATAGATGTCGCGGTTTATCGTAGTCTTGATGTTGTCTAAGCCGAGCTCTAAGCTTCGGTATGGTACACAGAGGTTCGCCATACCGATGAAGAGCTCGGGATAGTGGGAGGCGAGTGCGTTGATCAAGCAGCCCCAGTCGTGACCGATCCATACGGCTTTCTTTATGCCAAGCCTCTCGGCGAACTCGACCAGCTCTGGGATGAGGACTTCAAGGGCATATGATTCCTTCTTGCGAGGAGCAGTGGAGTCGCCATAGCCGCGCATATCAGGCGCGATTACACGGTACTTTGATCCAGCAGCGAAGTGCGAGAGCTGGTGCTTCCATGTTTCCGCGATATCCGGCCAGCCATGGATGAAGATGAGCGGTGTGCCATCTTTTGATCCTCCTTCGTAGTAATGAGTGACCTCACCATTCTTGAGGGTAATGTCGCCTGCGGTGAATGCGTCCATGGTGAAAAGCTGGTGCAACCTTTACGTTGATGTTTGGGTCAATGTTGACACGTACTGGATGTATATATCGGTGTAGAAAAGGGCCGATGAAGGCTCGTGCGATACTAATCTTCATGTACCTCGGCAAACCCACCTCAAAGTGGAAATTGCGCTAGTGTTGACCATCCGCCAGGCTCAAACGTTGCAACGTAGTTCGAGTGTCGGATGGTCCATGCGGATCATGGATCTGATCATCGTACATAAAGCTTCAGCGAACCAGACTTACATTAACTTCCGGCGACGTTTAATCTGTCGCATACTTGCTATGATGTAGGAAGCGAACTGTGTGCGAACTGTATGCAAGCTGTGTGGGGGGCCGCTCATTTCTGATGTCAATAGTGAAGCGCTTTCATACTGCCAATTGAGTAGAATCGAGTTTTGGTGCTGCCGTAAAGCCACAAACCTTCGCGATCAAGCTAAATGATCGCATACTCGGGGCAACCCTCTGCGGCATTACCGACCCAGCCGCGCTGATCGTCTTCTAATCGTTGATCCCGAGCTTCCCCAATCGCAGCCCGGTACCAGGCATCATTGTAACGCTCGCAAAACTCATCGCTACGTCCTGATACGTACGCTAAGTTAACTATTCGATGGGTGGAATCTCTTTGAAACAGTCGCAAGATAAAGGGCATTTGAAATCCAAAGAGAGCGACGAGTTGATCGTCTGCTCGAATCTCAAAAGTGCTGTCAAGCCATGTGAACCCAGTATCCCGCTTTTCAGTAACAAACACTGTGACCTTGTGCTCGATGGTACAATTGTTTTCAAGCTGTCGCTTGAAATCCTCTCTGTGACCTAACAGAGACGAAATAAAGTCTTCAAGACTTAGGCTGCACCTGAACCTCGCATCAAGCCCCTTGTACAGGCGATTTGGTGCTATACATTTCGTCTTCAAGACGTCATGGTAAAAATCGTATAACATAGCCATCGTTCTGATAAGGATCTGGCGTGATAGTGAGGATGTTTGTGGTGATAGTTCTAACATACTGCCCGTGTGTGTAAAGAGTTTGGAAATTCTACGATAAACGTAATGACTTTCGTCGGCGCTCAATTCTCTCTGAACTTAGCGTGTGTCCAGTATACCTTTCGGGAACACCCTCTAATCCATGCATCGGTACCTGGGAAAATTCCAGCGCCTACGAAGGCGTACGATGGCCTTCTATAGAACAGTCCGTAGAAGGGGAAACATATATATATCGCATGTAAGGATACACTCCATCTTCTGAGATCATCACTATCGTGGCCTCAGCAAGAACTTGTGGCCAAGCCTTGGAGTAATCGGCCACGATAGGCTCAGCTACGCGAGATCGGACGATTACAAGCAGACCGTAGACTCTGTCTCGTGGGTCTTTAGCTGTGACACCTCGTGACATGGCAGTGCACTCAAACAAGCCGGGTGCGACACCTCTTCTGGCCCTCATGTTTTGCAGCAAGCCTCTTCGTGACTGCAGTTGTTCTGCTTGGTAGCGCTCGTTTATCTGCAGGTCTGAACGTTCCATAAATCGCGAGTGGTATCTGTTAAGAGCCTTAAAAAAGCCTAACCAAATCGTGACAAAATCCCTGAGTATTATCCTTGGGTGGGCAAAGGCCAATACGAACTCTTGGATGATCCAAAGGCGCTGGAACCAGGGTAGCTGGCTAATCTCTACAGCATGCTGACACAGATGATCAGAAGGCCAGAGCGCGAGCGGTCCATTATTGCGGCAGAAATCTACCCATTGTATCCAATCCATTCGACACGTTTGGCGGTATAAGCAAGTATCGAGATCCGTCCACTCACCAAGCCATATCACGACTTCCGTTGCAGACTTGTATATCGTAGCCATATGCTGAACCCGATGCGATCTTTTCCAGAAATCGCCCTGGTTGATGCACAAGGCGTAAATCCATAGTATGCGAGATCGATCGATGTCTCGGAGACGTCTAAGTCCTAAGTCCAGGGTCCCTTTTACGGGCACCAGGAAGCCATTGATGATGGCTCTACGTGGGCTGTTTTTGATTCCCTAATGCATAAGAAAGGGCATCGTACACTAGGTCGTCGTTCAAATTCCATGTATGGAGGTTTAGCTGGATGACGTCGTTGTATTGCCCAGGTAGTCGCTCGACCAAGCCTATGTCCCCATTTTCGGAATCGATGGGCCTGTAATCTAACTGGCCAAGGCGTGGAAGCAAGTAATCGGATCTCTCAGGTTCCAAGCGCGAGGTTGAGGGAACCTGCTGGGGTACGACTGCTTGCGAGTCCGATCGAATCGTCGCTCTTGCGCCGTGATACAGGCTGAACCTGTCAATAACAGTGCGCCCATACATTTCGAAGGCGAATGTAGTTAAAAATGATATTGATAAAGTACGGATGACGCGGCAGTGGAGGTGGGAGCGTTCAGGGATACGGGCATGCCGAACATCTAGATGACCTAGGTTTAGGCAGCGAGAAGGCTGAGGTTTTGTGACGTGTACAGGCTCCATTGGACTGAAAATTTTGAGGCGCAATGCGTTGCATACGTGTATGCATATGATATCAGGGTGTTGGGTGCCGTCCCACAGGGCAATACATTATCACGTGTGAAAGGGTTGTAGTCAGGACAGTCGGGACGCGTCGGCGCGACACGAGCTTCCACACAGGATGGTAAAGTTGACGTCACCATCAACACATCTCCAAACACTGTCAGGCGCCCTCACCACAATGACATGTTTAAGCTCGCGCGCTCTCTCACAAGACGATCCAACATGAAACTCGATCCAGCAGTCGTCAAGCTTCTCGGCCTGAACCCTGAGAAGACTAATGTCTCCTCCGCCGGCGGAGGCGGCTCGAGTTCAGCATCGACGTTGAAGATCATGTCGCAACTTGACGATGGCACAGGCAAGGCTTTCTTCATGAAAACTGGAAGCGGGGAAGAGGCAGAGGTCATGTTTCAAGGTAAGCGCAATCTCTAGCACACCCGGGCTGGCTAATCAACTGACAGCGCATTGAAGGCGAATACGCGTCCCTCAAAGCCATCTACGGCGCCGTACCCTCTCTATGTCCTCAATCCTTTGGTCACGGTCGATTCGAGTCGCAGCCATCAACTTCGTTCCTTGTGACCGATTTCCTTCACCTCACGGGACGATCGAGCTCCAAGTCGTCGAAAGCGCAATCGCTGGCAGCCAAGCTCGCAAAGCTACATACCACGCCCGCGCCCATACCAGAAGGCTACGACAAGCCCGTATTTGGGTTCCCAGCGACAACATGTTGCGGCGACACACCACAAGACAATAGCTACAAGGAGAGCTGGGCAGACTTCTACGCAGAGAATCGTCTTAGGTTCATTGTGCGATATGCGGAGCAGAAAGGGAGGAAGGATGGCGACGTGAAGAAGCTAGTTGAGCAGACCGCGGCCAAGGTCGTACCCCGCTTGATTGGGGATGACCATCTCAACAACGGCAAGGGAATTACACCAGTCGTTGTACACGGCGACTTATGGAGCGGCAATGCAAGCGTAGGCGTCATTGGTAGCACCAAAGGCGAGCCTGAAGCCGTAGTCTTTGACTCGTCGGCATGCTACGCGCATAATGAGTTTGAACTAGGCATCATGAATATGTTTGGTGGCTTCGGTGGGAGCTTCCTGAAGGAGTACCATGAGCTCTGTCCGAAGACGGAGCCGGCCGAAGAATACGAAGACAGGGTGAAGCTATATGAGCTATACCATCACCTCAATCACTATGCGCTGTTCGGAGGAAATTATCGGAGCGGCGCGGTTAGTATTATGACTGATCTTATTAGGAAGTATGGTGGTGAAGGATAGGTCAATGAATTGAATGAGTGAGAATGAGTGGTCAAGTATCTACAGTCGAATGTACACAGCGTCCTATCGCGTCATCCTGAACAGTCGCGCATCGTTCATGCTGTAGCTCACACGGGCCAGCAGTGCGAGTTTACAATGTAACCCCAAATCATCTAAGCAAGCCCAGCGGCCTGGATAGCGAAAGTAGCCGCCGCATCCGCACTGCTGCCGTAGCTGAGATGGCTTCCAGTAGCACCGCCATCACCACCACCGCCGCAGATCTGATCAGCAGTACCGCAGAATTGCTTGACCTTGTCGGCTGAGAGACCGCTGATAGCCTGGCGCTTCAATGGGTCTCCGAACATGACAGCACCACTAACATCAGTGGCAGAAAGACCCTTGCTGAAAGCATTGTGAACGACCATGGCACCCTGAGAGTAGCCCGATACGATGACCTTGGTGTCAGGGCATTGAGACTTGGCCTGCTTGACCAGATCGGCCATCTTCTGGCCACCGTCACCACCAAGGTTGGCATTACCAGCAGCAGAGGCAGCATAGTCAACACCCTGAACAGTAACACGGTCGTTGCCCAGCTTCTCGCGAATCGCCTTGAACATGGGCGGTCCGGACACGGATCCGACGTTGCCCATCTCTCCAGTACCACGTGCAAAGACGATAGTCATATCGGTGCAGCAGTTCTTGTCCATGATACCGTTCTCACTTCCTCCGAAAGCGTTGGAAGATCCAGATTGGGGCTGGCAGTTCGTGCCGATCGTGCCGGCACCGCCAGTGTTGCCTCCGCCAGTCGCTGTGGGTGCTGTAGCGGCACCAGTCTTTGAAGGGGTGGGCACAGCAGGGTTAGCCGTTGTTGTAGCACCACCTGCACCACCACCGAGGCCTCCAAGGCCTCCACCGAGACCTCCGCCTAGACCGCTGAGCCAGCTGCTCAGTCCCGAGCCACCCGTACCAGTGCCGCCTCCACCCAGGCTGGGGAGGTTGGTTGGAAGGGAGAAACCTCCACTTCCCCCAAGAGACGGGATGTTGGTTGGTAGACTAAATCCTCCACCAAGGCCTGAACCTCCACCGAGGCCTGAGCCTAGGCCAGAACCCAGACCAGATCCCAGACCAGTACCTGTCCCAGAACCCAGTCCTCCGGTTGGTAGCGAAAAGGATGGTAGCGAGGGAAGCTGGGGATGCGGGAATGCAGTTGCAATGCTGGCAAGAGCGAAAACTTGAGCGGCGTAGTACTTCATCTTGCAAAATTGTTTAAATGTTAATGTGGGAGAAGTTTGATGAGTCGTCTGTATAGAGCAAGTCGATTGGAGGAAAAGAAGGTAGGTGCACTGCACAACGAAGAACAAGACTGGCGCCGAAAGCGAAGGTGGTAGGGTGGAAGCGAAAGTAGGATCAAAGTCGATGCCCTCCAAACTTTTGCTGGAAACCTACATCTTATACACAAAATCCACGGTTGACTTCCTCGGAGTAAAGTCACAACGAGTTACGCCGTTGGGTTTCGAAACATTGCTTCTGCGGCGAGATGTGATGAAAGGAATGCCAAGACGTTCTCCATCAACGCGATGTTTTTGTGGGTTCCATGCCCCGTTTGCGGGAAGAGGCTGATGTGTGCAGGGAAGCGTACCCATGTTTTCCGTGCCTCATCACTGAATCTGTCGGGTGACGTCTGCTTTGCCCTGATTTAGCCTCGGTATGGTATTCGGAAGGGTAAAGCTCTTGTTTCTGCATTCCAGGATGAATGCGGGTACATGACTCTAGTGATTGTTTCGATCATCGAGCAGCATTCCCGTTGCATTAGCGGCGGACGGGATGCTAGGGTGTTGTATCAACCTCGACGAGTGGCACATGTCCTGTGCTGGCACCAGTGAGTTGCGAATACTATCCGCAGTATTCCAGTCGACATCCCGCATCGCGAAAAAAACATGCGACGCTACGTCGTTAACACCTTCAAAGCCAAATTTCTGACTTGAGCTAGACACAGCTTTTCGGAGTGGTTCACGCAAAAGGCCCCGCTGTCAAACATGTGTACAAAATCTACCACTGCTATGGAACCTTCAGGTCGTTGTTTGTTAGCAAGCCATGTCAGCTCGGCTGGCTTACTGTCGTCAATGCCTTGCATGGTCTGGAACATACCAGCGATCGAGGAGGACAAGACGGCATCTTCCGCCAAGGATTCAACCATCCTTCAATTACCACCCATGATCTTCCCAAGGGCGCGAACGGATTGTAACCAAGCAGAATGGCGTAGGGCTGTCTCATCCATGTCAACGGTGCGACCTGCGACGGGCCTCGGTAGCCACCATGTGGGCCGTTTCACGATGACCCTGGCGCAACATCAACCACGAGTCGTAAGTTTACTAACAGATACCTCCATCAACCCAATCAGGTAGCAATATCTTACCTCACATCCGAGGCTGACGTTTATGTCTCGCAACGTCCCGAAAACTTTCTTTTCCTACGTTATCGCGCCATTATGATGCCTTCGCCTGCACAGCCGCCTTCACCTCCTCCATTGCGTCATATCCGTACAGCCAGGGTTGTACCTCGGGACATGTCCACCGACTTGGAAATGCGCCTTTGAGGTCCTTGCCCAGTTGGGCTAACATCAACTCATCCCGCTTTTCCTGCTCTGGCCCGTCGCGAAGGTGGAAGTCTTTTCGCTGCTTGAACGTCTCCCGTACGATACCCTCGCCGCGTGCTTTCCGCAGTTGTTGGAATAGTCGCAGGGTATCTGGTAGCTGCTCCTTCGAACTGAAATGTTCCGGGGCAAGTAGAAGTCCCAGAACGGCACCGTCCTCAATAGAAGAATTGGCGCCCTGAGCGAGATACGGAAGCATTGGGTGACATGAATCCCCAATGAGCACAAGATTGTTTTGCGCATTGATCCAGGACTCCATCTCGGCCCGGTGCATCAGTTTCCACTTGTCCACTTTGTTCACACACCCAAGTAGCTGGGTTAACCTGAATCAATGTTAGGTCTACAATGCAATCGTAGGATGAGGCGAGTGGAGCATCTTACACTGGATCCCATCCCTCAAACAACTTCTTCATTTCGTCCAAGTTGCCCTCCGTCCTTGCGACGCCTTCTTCGAGATCATCGGGCACAAGCAAAACCACATTGTACATGTTGCCGCCGCGCATACTGTATGCTACGACGTGTGCATCTGGACCTGCCCAGAACCGACATGCGGGCGATTGCACCATTTCTCGCAGCTTTGGGTCGCTGATCTGGTCGACCTTGAGCACAATCCGATATGCCAAGTCGCCAGTAGGCAGCGGAGGGTCGTTCCGTCCTAGCATCGTAGATCGACATGAAGACCATAGCCCATCTGCTCCGACAATGAGATCGGCGTCGTACTTTTGGCCCTCTGAGGTTTTCACACGCGCTCTGTCGCCGGTAGTTGAGCCAAAGTCTACATTCGTTACTTTTGCGTTCAATACAACCGTTACACCCAGCTCTTTTGCTCGCTTGACCAGCGCTTGCTGCAGATCCACGCGATGGCAGTCGGAGAATGGCGCTCCATATTTGCGGCGGATGTTCGCATCGAAGTTTTCTTCATGTGCGAGGATCTTGCCACGGTAGTTGTGGACGGTCAATGTGACGGGTTCGCAGATTTGATCACGGATGCTATCGTACACAGACCAGTTCTGGAGGAGACGTGTGGCATTAGGTGTCAGTTGAAGGCCAGCGCCTATCTGGAGTTGTGATAAGTATAGATATTGAGTGCAGTGGCTAGATGTTGAGTGCAGTGGCTAGATGCCGTGGACGTGAACGCATACCTCAGCCAGCTCTTTTGCGCCTTCCAACACCGTGATTGAATGCCCTGATAACGCGCATTGTATCGCTGCGGCAAGACCTGAGAGACCAGCGCCGACGATCAAGATGTCGAGCTTGTGTGACATATTCGGTGTTGGTTGTACACGTGCGCCAAAGATAATTCACCGGTCAGCTTCGAGAATGACGAGTAGTGAGAGTTGAGTTGAGACGTGCGATGCGTCGTGATATCCTTGCTTTACTGAACTTTGCCTATTGATCGGGCTTTAGATCTATCGCCGGATGCAGCAATTTCTGTTGCATGTGCGTGCCGCATTGTAAGTTCTGTTCCTGGATATTGTCTCTTCCGGGGCACAGAGAGTGGAGTGGGGATGCGGGGAAGCCACAGGCTACTTTCACGGCTCGGAGACCCTGGGCACGAACGGGACTTGCACCCCCACCACCCGACATAAGTACTGCAAACCCTCTCGTCCCTTCTGTACCTGGTATCATTTCACCTTGCGAATGTTACCAATTGTGGAACCGGTGATTCCGGATAACATGGGAACGAGTCATCACCAGACGGCAAATCGAAGGCGGCTTCGGAGTTAACAACAGGAATCGCCAATGCTGTCTTGCTGATGTTCTCTATAGCTGGGTTCATACATTCTTAGAATCAATACTTCAGGCGTTCGTCGTTGATTCCTCATCCATCTGCAGTACTCTGTGCAGGAATCTTTGTTGACAACGCACCATATCTCTCCCAACAGCAACGTGCGGCTCCAACCCCGAGGCCCCATGGTACACTCCTGGCCAAACATGTAGCTCTGCGGTACCTCCAACCTGCCATATCCTCGTCACAAACCTGACTGCCGCGTCTCTGAAAACTTCACAGGCACCAACGTCAATAAATGTTGGCGGCAGATTCGACAGGTCTTCAGCGCGACCAGCAACCCTTATGCCATCAGGATCGTTTCTATCCGACGACCCCAAGATAGCATTCCAGGCCCACTCATCCGACCACCCGGGCCATACTGTCTCTGTGCGGAATTGGCTTGCACTCGCATATTCCTCGTGCCTATCGTCCAGCATCGGTATGTTGAGCAGCAACGCAGCGACTTTGTGACCATCAAGTCCACGCGCGGCCAAGCATGCTGATGCCGCGACGCCTGCACCGCCTGAGCACCCGTAAAGGACGATTCTGGCCGGATCGATGCCCAACTCTTTCGCGTGCGAGACAAGATAAACGAGTCCTGAATACACGTCGAATGCACCGGCGGGCGCCGGGTATTCAGGTGCCAGCCTGTATTCGGGGCTCACGAAGATGACATCGTCGGCAGGCGAGAAGTGCGTCATGGCGTCCACGACACCGAAGAATCGGTCCCCGACTACTTGCCCACCGCCGTGAACATAATAGACCACTGGCCTTCCGGTAGGCCATTTGCGACTCATCTTGTGGGTGCTTTGGTAAAGCGACATGGTTACTGCATGGTGACTAGGACCGATAACGCCGGGAGCCATGAGAGTGGTATGTTGGTATTCCCGTTGCTGTTGGGCAACGAATTCTTTGTTATTTCCCATGGCCAGTATCATCTTTCGTGCGGCTTCGAGGTCAAAAGTCTGGTCGGGGCTGGGTAGACCACTGCCATTCTTGTAGCGTACATCGAATGGCGGGCGGACAGGCACGCTTGCCATGGTAACAGTTTGCGTGTGTTGCGGAAGAGAAATTGGATTTGCTAGTTGTTCGTGTGCACGGCAAGATGTCAAAACGTTGATGGAAATGGAAAGAGTAATAACCTAAATCTCTTTCCATGTCTCAGCTACTTGTACCATGTGTCCCGGAGCTATACTAGGGTGTCATCCGCAGCAACCAAACCTACGGCTCGTAAGTTCTCCGAGATCCGATCTCAGATTTACAAGTAAGGTTAGTGGGGCTATGACTGGAGTAGAGATGCTAAGCTTTCGGCCCGGGGGCAGAAGTCGACTTCCCTACTTCGTACGCCTGTTCCACCAAGTCCGTAATCCGGCCGCAAGTAGCAAGAAAACGATGAACACATTAAGGGAGCAAAATTGTAATGATCTGAGACATTTCCTCTACGTTTGATCGCCAGTGATTACTAATCAATGCCATTCAGGTCATAGTCTAATAGCAGGCATCGGGGTTGATACCGCCGTTGCTGAGAGGCGAGATCACATACACCATTCATGTACTTCGGCAACAGCGACATGAATGGCATTTGCAGCTTAGGAAGCAAGTCGTGGATCCAAGGAGCGAATGATGAATTTCCACGGCCATGTGATGGAGGTATACTATAACACGACGTATCCCCGTAGTGATACGCAAGGAGTTGGGCAGGTGGACGTATTTATCTCCCTAGGTTGTGCATCCCAAGTCGATGTAATTCCAAGCCATGATACATGACTAAGCAATAGAAACCTGGAAAGGATTGACAGAATGATTCTTGTATGGTATGACATGCCTGTCGTAATTTAAAGTGAGCCTTTCCAGGTGCACCGGTCAATTCATCGTGCTGAGCCCATTTACGTTCGGTAGCCCTACTGAATGAAGCTTGATAGCAATTTTTCGCATGTAGAGCTCGCATGGCTTACAATTCTGCCACCCATGGATTCGAGACAGATGCTCCAAACGCAATTTACAGTCATCATCATTAGCCGTAGCGCCCGTCTCGATCGCTGGATCGAAGGTGCTCACACCGGCTTCAGCAGCAGCGGCCGCTTCCTTTTTCTCCTCTTCTAGACGTATCCGTTCTGCCTCTTCCTCTTCAACGCTTATTCGTTTTGCTTTTTTACTCTTCTTCTTCTTGCTGAGAGCACCCGCACCAAACGCAGCCCAGTCGTCTGTGTTTGAGGCTAGATTCTCCCCCCAGCTCAAGCCTGAGGTGGCACTTAGTATCAACGGTTTCGCAGCAGCGGCCGCTTCTTCCTCTTCCTGCTTCCTGCGCTCGGTCTCTTCTTCAACCTTCTTTGCGAGACGCCCTTCCTCTTCTAGGCGTATCAGTTCTCCTTTCTTGCTCTTCTTCTTCATTTTACCGGCCGAAAGTGCGCCCCATTCATCCCAGATGGGGTCTTCCTTCTTCCTGCTCGTCTCAGCTTCAACAACAGCGGCGGCGGCTTCCTCTTCCTGTGCTAGGCGGATCCGCTCTGCCTCTTCCTCTTCTAGATGTATCGGTTCTACTTTCGTGTACTTCTTCTTCTTCTTCTTCTTGACGGTTGGAGCTGCACCTCTCCAATCGCCCCAGACATCGTCTTCCTTATTTTTGCTCTCCTCGGCTTCAGCAGTGGCAGCAGCTGCTGCTTCCTCTTCTTCTATCCTCTTCAACTCGGCCTCCTCTGCTTCTAGGCGTAACCGTTCTTCCTCTTCTTCTTCCTGTCGCTTGATTTCAGCAGCCTCTTCCTTTTCTCTCTGACCCTTCGTATCTTCCTCATCCTCTAACCTCGTCTCCTCGTCTAACTTAGCTTCCAGCTTCTTCGCCCGTGACATACTAAGCCCTCCGTAAGGATCTACCTCTACCCCTGGATCTTCCTGCGCAGCAGGTAGGTTTGCAGCAACAGTAGCGACATCATCGATTACTGGCGTCGAATCGATCTCGAGCTGGATATTGTGTGGCGACGATGGAGGGGATGAACTCATTGGAGGCGGAGGCGGTTCCAGCGTATAGTCTTTCTTCCCCTTCTTTTTCTTCTTTCCAGGAATGACAGGCGCACTGCTCCAGCTACCCCACATCGACTTAAACTCGAGTGTATCTGCTTCATCTTTAGAAGTAGCAGAGCTTGCAGTAGTAACGTCTTGCTCTTGGAGTTGCGTAGTGGTTCCTTTCTCCGCTTCAAGCTGCCGGATCTCAGCTAGATCTTCCTCTTGTGCCCTTGCTTCGGCATTCCCTCTATCTTCCGCCGCGGCTTCTACTTTCATCCTCTTCTCGAGCTCCATCTTCTCTTCCTTGTTGCATGAAGATAAGGCTGCAAACGCAATAGCTTCCGGTCTATTACCCGGATCCTGACCCAGATTATGAGGATCCCAGGCAGCTACCGAGTCATCGAAAGCTCCAAATTCCTCTACAGACGCAGGCCATGCGTTAGAAATTTCGGCGATGCGCCTGGAAGGCAGTTTTGATAGATCAGACAAAGAGGATCCAGGAGGCTCAGTACATTCAGGCGTTGAGATCTTGCTAGTCGCGGTCTCTCCTTTGTGCAAACTGGCTATCTTCTCGCTGTAGAGACCAACGATTAGTTGAGCCAATAGCTTTGTCAGGGTAGTACTTTCGATGTTTTCGAAGAAGTCCGGTGCCGATAACATATGAGGGTCTTGTTCGAAGGTCCATCGAACTTTCTTTGACACAAAGTCTCGAAGCCACGCATGTTCATCAGCAGGCCCTGCAACAGAATCTTCTCGAATAGCGCGCACGGCGTCACGTAAACACATTTCCTTGCCTCGTCGCTCCAGCTCGATTTGTGCTAACTCCTGGAGACCAGGCACGCTGTACTTCTTAGCGGCTTTTAGAGCAAGCACAGCTGTCTGGAACTCATCTCGGACAAGAGTTTGGTGAGTGTTCTCGGTACCCTCGATATCTTCGTCGTTGAGTGTCTGATAGACACCCGTGTGCAGGAAGTGGATCAAGACGTGACCAATGCTTGCGTCAACATCTTCAAGGTGGGTCTCGCGTGTCCAGGGATCACGACTCGGGATATTCTCCAATCTTTGCAACAGAACCTCTGGTATATAATATATCTGATGAGTATGACCAAAGTGTAAGGTAACAGATGGACTTGTATATAAGCTGAGGTAGTCAGCGTTAAAAAGGTGTGCTTGCATGAACGGAGGAAGCCTGCCTCACCTTGTTTTCAGTCGAGGAAGCGTATTTTTGGCTGCTTTTGCGCCCTTGACCTTTTTAGCCATCGCAATCGAAGCAGTTCGGGCGGCACTATTCGTAGGATCTTAGGAAAATCGAGGGAAGAGAATCCTTGGACTGGCGCTGAAGTCAGGGACAAAGAGCCTTTATCTGGATATCAGGATTATCCTGGAGACATCTCGTGTTGGTTACGTGCATGAGTATTCGTGAACGGTATCCCACTCAACCATTAACGCGTTGTTCATGGAGGACCTCTGCATATGCGCAAACACGACATCCTGCATACCAAGCCGCTTAGCCGCTTGACCCCGCACATAAATCTTCAGCCTGATCAGAACTTATATAGTCAGATCACAATCGCCATGATAAGTGGCTGTAAAGAGTGAGCCTTGGTGTGGGTGGGGCGCAGTTTGAACTTGTCGCACTCCGCATCAGTTTATGCGTGCACTTCCAAGAAATCAACTCGCAGATGCAGCCACAGCGCGTAATGTGTCACTATACCATTGGTTCCAAGATCGCATAGGACTTCCTACAGATAGTGACCTCCTTTATATGCATGTCTTATAAGCTGAACTCCCAAGTTCAGTGATCGTTGGCAGTTCCCACGTAGCCGCAATCCTAAGTTACAAATTCACAACAAACTTGAACAGGACACACAATGAGCCTTTGTGGATTGTGCAACCGTAATTTTGGCAGCGAGAAGGCACTCAAACAACATGAAGAGAACTCACCAAAGCATGCGGAAAACTTTGGCTGTAAGGCATGCAACCGCTCCTTCAAAAGCCTGAACGCACTCGGCCAGCATCAAGACAATTCTCCAGCCCACCGAAAAACCAGAAAAGACTCAGTCGTTACCTCCTCCACGTCTGTTCCAGCTGCCGATTATGCTCGTTCGCCGTTACCAACGACCTCTTCTGTCCGCCATCAAGTGCGTAACAGTCAGCGCAATGGCCACGCCACGACGAAGAACACTTCTCACACGCATTCGACCTTCGACCTGCCATTCGCAGTACTTAAAAGTCGAATGCAGGCTCTTAATATACCGGAAATAAAGACAATTGTCACACCGCCAAAGATTGATCGAGCACACGTCCATACGCGGCAAGAGACAAGGACCTTCTTCACGTTTCCTGAACTGCACCAAAGAATTGCCGAAGCCGTCGCGCCCACGATTACGTCGACATGGTTCAACCCCATCATAGAGGCTCACTTCAACACCGAGTACGAGACGAATGTTATGGGAAATTTTACATGCGAAAACAAAAGATGCAGAAAGAGCCAATGGAGCAGTAAAGTTGTAGCGGTTTGGATCAAAGGATATCCTCGTAGTGGTTACAATGCTATGGTGTACAATCAACGCTGCAAATCTTGCGACCGACTGGGAAGCTTGAAGCTAGACGAGGAATCGTATGTGGAGCGGATTGCGTATAGGCTTAAGAAATGGGCAGGTGTGACGGTTGAGATGCGACCATTTAGTGGAACGAGTAAGGGGCCACATGAGATCGAGCACTGCGAGGGCTGTAAGGCGGGACATTGTTCACGGGCATTGGACTTCTGATAGCAACACGTATCTTCATCATGTTGACATGTGGAGATGAGGTCAGGCGGAATCTCACTGCATCGGCACCGACAGATATTAAGATATGCACGACCAATGGGTTGTTTATCGATGCCGCCCTGTTCACACAAGCCCCACCTATGTACACAAGAAGCGGTCAATTTCGTCTATCACATTTACATATATCTAGCCAGCATTTTGAACTTCGAGCGCCGGTCAGTCGCTGAACTCAGCAACACCACTAGTGTCCTACAGTCGAGCGACGGGACGAACACCTGTCACGCCTCTCACACTATGGCTCTATCTATATTTGGCCTTCTCGTAGGCATACTAATCGTATACATAGTTGCCCGTCGACTTCGGCGGGCAAAGCTACCACCGGGGCCTCCTGGCCTCCCACTGCTCGGGAACCTTCGTCAAGCACCGAAGGGGACTCCATGGCTAACGTTTACCAAGTAGATCAAAGAGTACGGTAATCTCGTGTCGGTCGACCTCGGAGGTACTATGATCATAGTTGGTGACTACGAAACGGCGAAGGATTTGCTCGACAAGCGGAGGAACGTATACAGTAGCAGGCCGCGCCTTGTAGGACACTGCCGTGATGTAACAGGATAGATGAGTAACTCGTTTGAATAGGTCATGGGTCACGAATTAGTCAGCAATAGCAATCCGATCGTGTTCAAACCTTTTGGCGATGATTTTTTGCTGCATCAAAAACTTCAAGCGCCGGTGTTGAGCCCTCGGGCAACCACGTGCTACACACCTATCCAGGACTTGGAGGGTCAACAACTACTAAAAAGCCTTCTGAAATCATCCGGAAGCATCGCGCACTGCGTTGAAGTGTTTGCAACGAGCTTGGCTTACTCAATGGCTTTCGGTATGCGTATTCACACCGGGAAGGAGTGGCAGGTGGAACGAACTCGCGGATGAATGAGGAATTTCCACATTGCCGGCCAACCAGGAGTTTGGATCGTGGATGCGCTGCCGTGGCTCAATTACCTGCCCGCAGCCATTGCGCCTTGGAAGTGCAAGGTTGCAAAGTGGTTCCATGAACTCGACGACCTGCACGTCAAGAGCTACAAAGAGGCGCTCAAACGCGAGGGCTGGAACTGGGCGAAGGACTTCGAAAGGGCTACTGAAGCGCAGAGCATGACTGAGCAGCAGGTCGCTTGGGATGTCGGTATACTCGCTGATGCTGGGGTTGAAACCATGAGCGCTACCCTCATGATCTTCGTCCTCGCATGCATCACGCATCCTGAATGGCTCCCGAAGGCGCAGAAGGAGCTCGAAGAAGTCGTAGGCAGCGAGCGACTGCCCGAATTTGGGGACTTGAAGGGCTTGCCGTACGTCCAGGCTATAGTAAAAGAGGTTTTCCGCTGGCGTCATCCACAACAAGCCGGCATTCCGCACGCCACGACCCACGAGGACTACTATCAGGGCTACCTCATCCCCAAGGGCTCTGTTGTCATCCCGCTCTTCTACGCGATGCGACACGATGAGGACCTTTTTGACAAGCCGGCGGAGTTCCACCCTGAGCGCTGGATCGGCAGGTCGCAAATCCAAAACTTCGGATACGGTCGCAGAACCTGTCCTGGTCGTCATATCGCGCGCAACTCAGCAAGCATAGTGATTGCGCGCTTGCTGTGGGCATTCAATATCCGTACGCCGACTGGGAAGAGACTCGTTGTAGAGGAAAGCATGTTCACCACAGGGTTCGTATCGGCTCCGAAGCCTTTCGCGTGCATCTTCGAGCCCCGGAGCGAGACGCATGTCCGCGTTGTACAGGAGACCTTCGAGAAGGTAGAGAAGAGCGTTGCAACTCTTCTTAGCGAAGTTCATGAGAAGCACAACGCACTGGGTATCAAGGCTCGCGTGTAGTGCATATCCACCGCCGGCCTCCGCGCAACTGATAAGGGCAGCGCCACCCGCAAACAAAGCGCTATTCTCAAGCATAGCACCACCTCCTGATACTTGGGCGCCTTATACTCATATAACCCACCCGCATGTTCATAGCTCACCTCCTGGCTCGTGCACCCTGATAGAAGGCGTCGTGGAACCACGTGCGCTGCGCCGCGCGCGCGTCTAGGCATCGCCTTCACGGAGCTCGAAGCGCAGCGTGTTAAAGCGCACTTCGAGACCGGCGGTCGCGACGTAGAGCTGCTTGTGGGTGCATCTGCTCTGGTTGTATTCAGGCCCTAGTGTGCCTTTGAAGATGGGTCTGCCGTGCGCGGTGGAGGCGAGGGGTTTGTATTGGAGGGTGCGCGCGGGGGATGCGAGGGCGTATCGATAATAACGTTTTGGAGCTCGGTGGGTAGGCTGAAGAGCAGGCTTGTGATTGTTTAGGGCACCATTGCGAGGGTTGTGAGCGCGGTGGAGCGCAGAGCTTCCCGTTGAAGAGTAATGTCGATTGCGTTGTGGGAAGTGATTGCTTTGGTTGTGCGCAAGCACAATTGGAAAGAAACAATGTAAAGAAGGATGGACTACAAGACGGGCAGTATTTCGGACTAACTCAGCCGGCGCTGTTCAATTCATGTTCGAAGCTTTCTTTGCTTACCCTGGGCGCTATGCCACCTCCCGCATCGCCCGAGTACAACCCTGTTACGTCATGGCTAGTCCAATAAACTCTGGCTGCTGCAAGATCTGTAACATTAAGATGCGCGAGCTACGACTCATGAAAGCTTCCGTTCTTGGCCCCCACAAGCATAGCCACCGTTTTCGCTCCTACGGGCAACCTGACCCTACCCCATCACTGACTTCAGGGAATACGCTCGCAAAACGATTAGGAAAAGTGTCGATGTACGCGCCCCACTCGCCCCGACACTTGTCGCACAATCGCACACCTCCAAACCCGTATAACGAGTCTCCTTTACAAGACTGGTGCTCTCGACACTCTTGACAAGTCACATTGTTACTGGCTTCCAAATATCCGCTGAGACCATCGAACAGCAATTCATCGCTTCTCTCGATCATAGCTGTGTAACGGTCAGCACCTTCGACCTCGCTGTCTTGAGCGTCAACACGATTCCAGAGTTTAAACTTTCCATGTGCTTGCTTTACAACGGTTGGAGTCTCGGGTCGACCGATCACCAGTCCGTCTCCGACGAAGCGGTACCGGCGCATCACTATATCAAAGGCCATCGGTTAGGCATCTAAAAGATCAATCGTGATTGGGAAAAGCGTACTCATGTGTATGGGTCCGCCCAAGAAGCGCAAGAAATTGATGACAGCGAGGTGTTCCGGTCTTCCAACCCACGCAACATCTAGCGCCCAAAGTAACTCACGGCATTGACGAAAAGCCTTGATGCGTGCACTCGAAGGTACATATGCGAATGTAGAGTTCTGGGTAAACACCAAGTTAGCGGCGCTTACTACACGCATTTCGTACCAGTGCGTTTACTTACAATCTCGCCTTCAGATCGGTGCTTGAAGAACGCAACGCTATCGTAAAGCGTGGAACCAAGTTCGTTTAGCATTTCTAACTCATCTTTGCTGTACTGAAAATCATCGAGATCATTGCAGGCAAGAGCTGCGTAAATACCAAAACGAAGCAAGACATCCGTATCGCGCATCCGGAAGCACTGCCTGGGAGACTTGGCGAGGGCAGCAACATATCGTTTGAATAGCAAACCTTTGATTCGGTTGCTTGATTTCTCCGCCGAAATAAGAAGACTGCAGCGGAACTCTCGTGCCATTTCCGCACTGATGAGACTCAGGTTAGCTTCTCAGTGTATACTGGTAGTGCATTGCGAGGTAGAAGATGTATCATGTGAGAAAGACAAGATTTACGTACTGTGCTGGAGTGCCTTCAAATAATTGGGCTAGAAGAGTGCTGACGTTATATCCAAGCAGATCGTCTGTGACTGCGACTTGAATCATATCACCCTTGTATTCAGCAACGATTGCAATGATCGCAAGTCGTATACATGCAACGTAGCGGTTCCAGTTGGTGTACTGTGGAATAACGCAACGGGCGTATTCCCATGCGCATGCATAAATCTCTTCTTTGGCTTGTTGGGGAAGATTTACGTCGTTGAGATCATTTGCAATTACTGCCGGGTAGTCTAGGAGTGAAGCTCAGCGTCAATAGAGGTTTTCGATGGTCGTAGATGTGAAAATGACATACACCACTTGTCACGGATGACGGACACCGACTGTTCTACGGAAGTAGAGTTGAATTTTGACATAGTTGATACAAGACTCTAACGCATAGTCAGGACGCGATACGTAAACATGTTGTATGAATAGGTCAGGAGAGGGAAACGTACGCCCAAAATACTGTAATACGGTTTGCTCAGTTGGCTAAGGCAGACCTATCGCCTTTCAATAAAGGTAGTGTTGAATATCTTTGCTGTCACGCGGCGAGCTGAAGCTAGCAGCGGATCATGGTGGATCCTGCGGGGTGTGTGTGATGGAAATTGTTCTAATCAGCTAGAGGCTTCGACTTTATTCTCGCTGACGAGGAAGGCTCTGCTACATATATTGGTGCACTTCTTGCATCAACGAACCCTGATTGACTTGTTATAGCGACAGCCCATACCACTTATGCTAGTGAAAATACCTCGCGAGAGAGGCAAAGTTAGTCTCTTGAGTATGAGTTGTCAAGCTTAATAACATCTGGCGGTGAAAATCTTGCATAAAAGAAGCAGAGTTGATCCGTGAAGGTTGCTGTTTGTGTTCTCGTGTTCCAATGAACTGCTGGTAGATGCAATTATACGAGGTTTGCCGAAAAAAGCATCTGATCTAGCGGTGTCTCATCACAGTTTTGGTAACGACTCTCGTTCAACATAGGCGCCACTGATGCTAGGCAAATGCCAGTAGATATTACTTCCTCAACTTAGCTTTGCGCGTAATCTGTGGACACTGTACCATCGTGGAGCACGAGATGTATCCGAATACTTCTCTGCAAAGCCATCCAAGCAAGAGTAGATGAACGTGCATCAGCCAACGCATGCAAAGCTTAGCCTGAACGCAAGGGATATAGGAGAGGCCCTGAGATGATCGTGCTTTAGAAGATTGCCCAAGCGTCCCTTCTGAACTCCAAGTCGCCAGGTTTGCAATAGATTCGCACAGGGCCCTGATAAATGAGCCATCGAGGCAAGAGATGCAGATTAGTCAATTCATCTTTCAACGCCGACGTATCTCGTGACTCACAGTCGGTCCGCTTTTGATCATAATGCGCCGGCTTGGAACGACATCACATCACTTCGAGTCTTGATTTGCGCCACGGCCTGGGTCATAAGCTAAATCGCATCGGGAGCGGCTGGACGCCAGCTTGTGGAGCAGTACCGTGGCTGTGCAGGGCCCAAACCCGTAAAATCAAAAGGGCGCACTACCTCTAGAGTCCGCGCGTATTGAGCACGGTGACTGTGCACAGATTAACGGATCCACCATGAAGATGGAATCCCCATACCACGGACGTTCGGTCTTTTCTGGTTCCCCGGATGCCTTTGTGTGCAGTGCATCTAGACACAAGAAGAAAAAGGGCTGCCGTGACTCACCGTTTGACCGGTGGTAAGCATGTCTAGCTGCCAAGATGGCCCTTATAGCAACATGTGCAACAGACAGTGATTGAGCAAATTAAGCCACACAACGACATTTCGACTCCAGGCAATGCCACTTCAATTCTGAAGATCGCCCGGACAAGGCTCCAAAGACACCGATCCATTGCTTGAAGCGGCATCACCTCCACCAATCCAGGACGATTACCTCAAGATCGACGAAGAAGACAGCGATGATGATAGCGGCGAGGACGAAGATGTGAAAGAGGCTCGTGCTGAGCGGTTACGTGAGACTGGAGGCTGGCTTGGCTACCTGGAAGACTTCACTATCTTCCTACCTTACGTCATACCCAGACGAGACATCAAAGTGCAGATATGTCTGCTCATCTGTCTCCTCACGATCGCAATGGAGCGCGTCCTACATGTCGCCATCCCATATGTTCTTGGAATTATCGCCGACAGAGTCACACATGGATCAATACCTATTCGAGAACTCCTCGTCTTCCTTGCCCTCGATGTACTTAGCGGCGAATCAGGATTGCTCTTCGTTCAAGAGCTCTCAAAGATACCCATCAAGCAGTTCTCGTACAAGCAATTGACTAACGCTGCTTTCAACCATGTCATGTCCCAGTCAATCAATTTTCACTCTACACAAGACTCAGCCGAGGTCATGAAGGCCGTTGAGCAAGGCGAAGCGTTGGGCAACGTCCTCGAGTCAGTGGTCATCGATATCGCACCAACTTTGATCGACATCATCGTTGCTTGTACTGTCTTCTACCGGAAGTTCACTCCAGCGGTGGCAATGGTCTTGCTTGGTGCATCAATCGTATACCTGGCTACCGAAGCATTCTCAACGCGACTCACGACAGGCGACCGGAGGAATGTGACGAAGGCCGAACGACTCGAGACACGAAAGATGCATCAGGCGATCCAAGGTTGGCAAACTGTGACCTACTTCAACCGATTCAAGAGAGAGGCTAGTGTACTCTCCAGTGCTGTGAGCGACCACATGAAGGCAAAGACACGTTTCGAAGCACGACAAGCACTCATTAAGGCTCTCGTTGAGCTGGTGGTGCCGATTACCTTCTTTGCTCTGGCTTACCTTATCCTTCAGCGCATCACCGCGGGCACAGCATCACCAGGAGACTTCGCCTTCTTTCTTACATACTGGGACTCAATCATCTACCCGCTAAAGTTTTTGACGAACCATGTACGATGGTTGGTTGGTGACTTTGTTGATGCCGAACGACTTCTTCACCTTCTGCGAACCCAGCCATCAATCACGGACGCACACGAAGCCTATCCACTCGCAGTGCGCGACGCTGTAGTTCAGTTCGACGAAGTTTCCTTCAGGTACGACTCCAGCCGCTACGCACTCCGAGACATCTCCTTCACCGCCTCGCCAGGCCAGACCGTCGCCCTTGTAGGCCAAACCGGCGCCGGCAAATCGTCTATCCTGAAACTGCTCTTGCGCCTGCACGACGTCACATCCGGCAGCATCACCATCTCCAAACAAGACATCCGGCACGTCACACTGGGTTCCCTTCGCGACGCCGTAAGTGTAGTTCCCCAGGCGCCCACATTCTTCAACACCTCGATCGTGGAGAACGTGCGATATGCACGCTGCACGGCGACCAACGAAGAAGTCCACGAAGCATGCCGCGCAGCCGCTATCCACGACACCATTACACGCTGCCCCCAGGGCTACAATACGCAAGTCGGCGAGCGCGGCGTCAAGCTGTCGGGTGGCGAGGCGCAGAGACTTGCGATTGCGAGGGCGCTGCTCAAAGACTCACCGATTGTCCTGTTGGATGAGGCGACGAGTGCGGTAGATACAGCGACAGAGGGGAAGATCAAGAGGGCACTTGAGAAGCTCAAAGAGGGGAGGGTTGTTATTGTCATTGCGCATCGGCTGAGTACAATTGTAGACGCAGATTCAATCCTAGTGTTGCATGAGGGAAGTGTTGTAGAGAGAGGAACGCACAAAGAATTGTGTGAGAGAAAGGGGCGGTATTACGAGCTTTGGGAACAGTCCTAGATTTCCTACGTTTTGATTCCCCCAAGTACATTATCTCCGTACAGGACAAAGGCACGAAGTATTTCTTTGCTAAATCAAGCAACTATGAACAGTAGTTCTGACCAGCGCTAGGCTCAAGGATGCCCATGTCGATGAAGTTCAGATAATTCCAATAATCGGCCTGCACCCCTTCACCCGCAACTGAAACATTGCCGAAGAACTTTGCTGTCCAGTACGCATTCCCCTGTGTGTACTTGTTGTATGCGTAGAGCCCAGTGTTCAGATTCTTGGCGCGGTTCGCAAATTTGTTGTTCGACAATGTCTGGATGGCCCACTCGCCCACAAACACAGGAAATTTGCCATCACCAGCAAGCATCTTTGCGTCTGAGCAGATGCTAATGGTAACGTTGTCTGAATCGCTGGGGCGGCCGAAGTAGTAGTTGTGCACGTCGAAAACGATGTTGGTGTTCGCGGCAAAGTTTCCTGACCAGAATGGCTCGCCTTTGAAACTGCCCTGGAACATGACTGGGATCTTTGGGTTCACGGCTTTAGTATGCTCGACAACGGCGTTGATGTACTTTTGTACCCAAGCAGCGCCATTATCTGACAAAGCTGCTGGAGTGCCGAATGTGGAAAAGTCGGGATTGTCTGCTGGTTCATTGATGGGAGCGAGTGTATATGACTGCGGACTTCCTGAGCTCTGGATGAATCTCAAGACTGCGTCGACGGCTTTGAGTGACAGGTCAAGGTTGGTTTGGTTATTAAACCAGTCCCATTTGCCAATGCGCTGGACAGAGTCAGTAAATGTATGTGTTAAGCACTGCATGTGAAAAAAGATTCACCTCGCCAATATCTAGACCATTGATACCACCCGGCAGACCATGAATATCGAGAACGATATGCATGCCATACTTCTTGATAGCGTACGAAGTGATTTTCTTGATGTACGATTGCTGGTTGCCAGAGTGGTACTGCGCACCTGGAACCTTGATCCAAGCTGCATATGTGGTCGGAATGCGAAGAAGATTCACTCCGCCCGAGGCAAGCTTATCAATATCATCGCGAGTGACATACGTCGCATAGCGTTTCTCAAAAACCGATGCGCACTTGTCGCCAAGTTTGGCACAGCAATTCCACTCATCAGCGGTACCTTTGCAATATGTTCCCCAGAAATATGGATCGATGGTGGCTTCCTGACAGAGCCATCCGCCGAGATTGACGCCATTGGCTCTGAAGTTTCTCCAATTGACATAATCGTCGTGGTGAGTTGTGGTAGGGGTTGCTAGGACATGGGAAGAGAAAGCAAGGATAGATGTGCTAAGAGTTGTGAACGCGAACATGTTTGTAAAGTTGGGATGTTCACATATGCGATAAATGGATGAATCGGCATTGCTGGGATCTGAACTTATATACCTGCTACACTCCAGTGTATCTCGCTATTCCGGTTGTTTACGGCTGAGCATGTACAGATTTTACATCCTGATATTGCGGGGGAAAAACATGGGGAAGATGTGGAGCCGGCACAGCTACATCCAAGGAGGCAGTCAATCTGCCCCTTCACTTGGTTCCATGTTCTCAAACAAGTTAGATCCAACCCACATCTCTCACAAACACGTGCCGTAGTCTATGATAAGGCTAATGTATTCAGTAGAGTTCATGCCGAATCTCTTTCCCGAATTCCTTTCCCGAATTTCGGCTCTAGATCATGGACCGACACCCTAACCCCGAATCCGGAACATCAACAGTGCGATCCAGAAAAATTCAAAGTGAGATCCGTCTACAGTTTGTAAAGAAATCAACATCAATTCCCATACAAATCATACCAGCGCATACACCAAGAGCCTCTTCCTTGTGTTGCAGCAGTCCTTTTAAGAATTTGTTACCGTTAACCTGTTTCACCAGCGAGCGGCCCACCCCACCGAGCGGCCCAGTTCCCCCACCAACACGCGTACCTAGCAACAACACGTAATGTCTCAACAACCACAACCTCTCAAGGCTTATACTGAAGCTGATGTGCAGCTTGCCCTCTTAGACGTTAAACGTAACCAAATTCCAAGCCTGCGGCGTGCGGAGGCAGTCTACAAAGTCCCAAAGACGACGATACGACGGCGACGCGACGGGAAGCCCTCTAGACGCGACTGCGAGCCAAACTCAAAGAGCCTGACGAAGCTAGAAGAGGAGGTGATTGTACAACGTATACTTGATGAGAATCTGCGTGGAGTACCGCCCTCGAAGCTACACGTACGAGATATGGCTGATAGATTGCTGCGCGATCGCGGCGTCAAGTCTGTTGGCAAGAACTGGGTTGACAGGTTTATCCAGCGTACACCTGAGCTGCGCACGCGCTGGAGCCGTCCATACGATCGCCAGCGAGCTCTCTGCGAGGACCCAGCAATCATTGAGCCCTGGTTCATGCTGGTTTAGAACATGAAGGCGAAGTACGGCATTATAGACGACGACATGTACAACTTTGACGAGTCTGGCTTCCTGATGGGCAAGATATCGTCGCAACTCGTAGTGACAGGCATAGACAAGCCTGGGAAAGCAAAGAAGCTTCAGCCTGGTGATCGCGAGTGGACTACGTTGATACAGGGCGTCAGCGCAATAGGGCGCGTTATCCCACCCTTCCTCATCTTTGCCGGCAAGGTTCTTATCTCTAACTGGTTCACTGAGGACCTCCCACGCAACTAGGTTATTCAAGTAAGCCCAACAGGCTGGACAAACAACGATCTAGCGCTTGCTTGGCTTAAACACTTTAATACGCATGCGAGGCCTGTAGGAGCGTACAGGCTGCTTATTATTGACGGCCACGAGAGCCATTGCTTAATAGATTTTCAGGAACGCTGCAAGGAGAAGAAGATTATCGCCCTCTGTATGCCTCCACATTCGTCGCACCTCCTGCAGCCGCTTGACGTTGCCTGCTTCTCGCCGTTGAAGCGCGCGTACGGCGATGAGATCTCAGCCTTGGCACGCGATCGCATCCACCACATCAACAAACAGACCTTCTTACCAGCCTTTAAAGTAGCTTTTAAGAAGGCATTTACAAGAGAGAATGCTTGCGCAGGGTTTCGAGGCGCTGGATTGTGTCCACATGATCCACAAGCCGTGTTATCAAAGCTGGATGTGCAGCTGCGTACGCAAACTCTACCACAGCAAGATGACGCCGCTTAGGAGGCGCAAACACCGCGCAACGCCAAAGAAATGGAGGCGCAATCAACGCTGATTCGAAACAAAATGCAAATCTATTGAGGGTCTCCAGCAAGTTCACTTGACGAGCAGGTGCGACAGCTAACAAAAGGCGCGCAGCAGATAGCTCATGAGATGGTGTTAATGCGCGCAGAGATGGGGCGCCTTCGAGACGCAACAGAGACGCTTACTAAGCGTAAGAGTCGCAAGAGACGCTACGTACGGGCAGAGGAGACACTGACAGTTGGCGAGGTATTAGACTTAATTGCTGAAAAGGAGGGTGGCAGTCGTGAGGAGGGTGAGGAGCCGGCGAAGAGGGTGCGCGCAGGGCGACGCTGCGGCCGTTGTGGCAAGATTGGGCATAACTCTCGTACGTGCAAGGTAGAAATTGAGGATGCGAATGATAGCGACGCTTCTAAATAATATTATACTGTTGCAAGAGTATAAAAATTGTGTTGTGGTGCTAAGCTACGTCGCTGCGCGTACGCTTCGCTGGTGTTCATGGGCCGCTCGGTGGGGTGGGCCGCTCGCTGGTGAAACAGGTTAGAGTTGTTAGGTTAGGGTGTCTCTCGCTATGGAAATCGCAGCGTAGGATAGCGAAGCAGCCGTATCACCGCAGCAGTCACCGATCGAAGAAATACGATGAGGACACGGAATCCTCCGTCTCCAAATCCAGGAAACATTCCCACCGATCCGAACGCACCTACCGTTCTGATCTCCCCCAAAATCAACTTCGCCGACGACGAAGACTCTTCCCGCCCGAAACGCAGTTCCAAGAAACCCTCGTCGTCTCTGAAAGCAGTGAGGCTACTACCGTGCGACCTGTGAAGGAGAAGGAGAAGGAGAAGGAGAAGTCGTCTAGGAAGGATAGCTTGACACAGGATTAAGGTGAGGCGGTGCAGTATGGGGCTGGGAATGTGGCTGTGAGGGATATCACGTCGGGTATGGTTAGTGCGTTGCGCAAGAATCCTGTAAGGAGTATGACTACGCATGATCATGCGCAGAAAATGAGGTAGTTTGAGGGGATTCATGCAGGCTTAAGAGGCTTTGAGTAGGTGGTGTTGGTGGTATAGCTGGGTTGATGTTGTTGCTCTTGTTGTTGACCCACTCGCGATCGCCAGGCTGTAGTTTCTTCTGTTTCCCAGGTTTCTCTGAGCTTGTAACAACAAGCTGAGAGGATATCTTGCCCATTATAAAGCCAGACTCGTCAAAGTTCCAGGTATCCTCATCTGCGATGCCATACTTCGCCTTCATCGATTGAACAAGCGTGAACCAGGGCCTGATAATCGCTGGGTCCTCGCAGACAGCTCGCTGGTGATCATACGGACGGCTCCATCGCGTTCGCAGCTCAGGTGTACGCTTAATGAAGTTATCAACCCAGTTCTTGCCTGTAGGCTTCCCACCACGCTCTCTTAGCAGTCTATCAGCCATATCTCGTACGTTTGCCTTTAAGGGTGGTATACCACGTAGACTCTCTTCAAGTATACGATGTACAATCGCCTCCTCTTCTAGATTTGTAAGGCGTTTTGAGTTCGGCTCACAATCGCGTCGAGAGCGTCGTCCAGCGCGCCGGTCAACAAGCGTTCTTCGTGGGACGTTATAGATTGCTGCAGCGCGTGCGTTGCTTTGAAACTGATGAGAATTAATATCTAAGATAGCAAGCTGTATATTGCCTTCATTGTAGGTTCTTTGGGTATTGCGTAGTTGTGACATTACGTGAAGTTGCTGTGCAGGCGCCGCGCTGGTGTTGGGGTGGCGACCCGCTTGTGTTGGCGACTCGCTTGTGAACCACGTTAAGGCTAATCCTTTAATTTCTTACGTAAGCAATTAGCAAGAGCAAGTGCTAAGCTTGCGCACGGATCACAAAGGCACTAACAGCTCTTAGGGCCTGTGCGCTAACAACGCGTTCGCGTGTACGTCTACGTGCGACGCGCCGCGGTATAGGGCAAAGAGTCTTACGGCTACTGTTTCGCGATAGCAGCGCGACGTCCTTCTGATAACGAGTCTATTAATGCGCTAATAGCGGCTGCTAAACAGCTTGTCTAGCAACTAGAAGAAGTTAAATTAGCAGAAGCCCACCACGAACGCGCTCACAGTAGGCCTAGACCGACAAGCGCATCTTTAAAGCAGCTAGTTTCTAAATTAGATCTTGCGGCAACTTTTAAGGCGATTGTTAAGGAAGCGCAAGCGCGACTAATAGAGCTCGGAGAAATAGAGACGCACGAACCGGAAACGCACGAACCGGAGATACACGAGCAGGAGACACGAGCAGGAGACACACGAGCAGGAGACACACGAGCAGGAGATCCACACTGTCGACGAGCGCGGATACCTTATCCTACAAGTGCAGCATCGCTAGGATGCTTCACAACTTACACAACTCCTACGCGGCGGCGAGGCATTAGATCAGGACGAGATTAAAGGCTTTGCACTTGCTCAGGGAGACGCTGACTGTCTGCACGCGCAGGTAGCTGCAGACACCCCGCTCAACCTCTGCGATATGGAAGGGTTCAGCGAAGCTGGTGTATCTCAGCAGCCCAAGCAAGAGTTTGAGGAGTGAATAGCGGGACCCCTCGACCGCGTTCGATACCTGATCTGCAAACCCTTGTCCGATCACAGCATCAATACTCTGCTAGACGCTGGCCCCCGGTGCAATCGCCGGCTTGAGATCGCCGGCGTTAACCGTCTATATTGGTACGTCAGCTGCGAACCCAACACACCTGCAACGTTGCACATCGAGAGCGAAGTGCTGGAAGTCAAAGTACCCCTCGTTTGTCCCAGCACGGCGGGCGTCTCAGCACTCAGGGAGGGACGTTAGATTGGGATTGGCTTGAATAGCTGTTCTAGTGATTTTTTTTCATTTTGCTGTCATCTTATTTATTATTCGTCAGGGCCTGTCCTCTATGTAGCTTTCGTAACAGCTATTTATTGGGTTATGTAGAATAGAGATATAGTAAGATCGTCAATCGATTCCGCTCCCAAGAGGATATGGTTACCGGGATGGAACGCCTGTTAGCCCTTGGCCATGGAACCCTAGACTGTCTCTAGCAACAATGGATGCGTTGGGTGGCCCATGTTCTGAATCCATATCTTCGCACTGTGGAGGATCCTCTCTTTCAAATCATCTCCATAAACATCCCAGGTAGAAAGGGCTCCATGAGTTGCATTGAAATTGTATGGTTTGATCAGCCGCCAGATATTAGCTATGGCGTCTGGACCCATTGGCATTTGTGAGGGAACAGACAATAGAAAACCATACTCTGCATGTTTAGGCGTTCTGTCTCCTGCAGATTGAGCAATCTATGCGAAACGTGAGTATAAGAGCATCTTTTAATCTTGTGTATATCACTGATATTGTTTTCTCTGATTCATAAAAAACGGGGACTTACCCATGTGGTCTCAAAGGAATCTGCATGGAAAATATGGTTCTCCCAGTGCAGGACAAAGCTGCCGGGGAAATGACCGCCAACCTTAAGAGCTGTCACTCCTGGCAGAATCTCTGTTACCTCCTGATGAAGAAAAGTTACTTTCTCATCTGCTGGAGTGTTCTTCAGCCACTCTTGGTCTTCGGGGGCCGCATACACTGGACAATCAAATGCCATCCGCCATTCATTCATTGAGGTATAGTAATGTGGATGCGATATGATGATGGCTTTGAGTCCGCCAATAGATTTGATCTTTGATACAGTTAACATCATACTTCTTCAAATTTGAAGACTCCGGCGAGAAGAGTGGCGACTTACCCAATCAATAGCTTCCTGGTCCAAGTACGTTACAAGGTCCCAAAGAACGTTTCCATGTGGCGTTTGTAAGAGCATTGCTCTCTGGCCAACAAGCCCGAACTACATTCTGCATTAGATGGCACTACGTACAAAGCGCATAGTTCCTTACCTTGGGTTCTATTTCAATCATTGTGATTCTATCGTCCTCAAGCTTTGCACGCTTGAGTTTGTGTCCAGCGTCTTGGAGCTTGCGCAAGGAGCTCCAAGACTGACCTGGGACTAAAACCATGCAGCGAAAATCCTCCAGAGGTCAGCACTACAAACGCGAATAATGTGGCATACTTACATTACAGATTTCGCATCGATTGTTTAATGTTGCTGGGTCTGCCGTATTGTACTGCGTAGTACAAGTGCGACAAATAACGAAGTCAAGATGGTCTGCCATATCGTTCTTTTCGAGGTCCTGACGTGGCAGCAATTGGGCCGCTGAATGAACAAGTAGCAAAAGGCAAACTGGTAAGATATCCAAGTGTTATTCTTAGATGGGCGTGCGGCGCTTTATAGACCTTTATAAATACCTGTTGGAGGGGATACTCGACCTTGTATATATCAGGAAATTCAGTTCATTCCATACATGAACTAGTCTATCATTACCCTCTCAGACTCCAGCCGAATAATATTATTTGTTCAAATCCGGCATTCTATGTAGATCATACCATATGGTCTCGGCCGAAACCGTTCTCCTGGGTGTTTCATTTAGTCGGAACCTTTGGTTGGGCCGACGACGCAACTGAACCCGGAGTTAAGAACTAAGTCCGCGCGAGCTGTGGATTTAGGACAACAATTCGGATTGGCATAGGAGAATTGAAGTGTTTAACAGGGCGAGATTCAGCGGGGAACGAAAATGGTGCTACCAATCCGCATGCGCAAGGCCATGCAAAAAGTGGGCGTCTTTCTCAATACGTAACAAGTTGGACTGCGGTAGAAGCAAGAATATCGGCACGTGCGTAGGAAGCTTCACTTGATTTTGTAGCATATCAACTCCACAGTAAAGTGGAGTTGTCGTTTGTAGTTAAGGTTTCGTATGTTTACAATCTGCAATGATCGATGAATGACATGGATACTCTTTCCAAGTGCTCCATCCAGCTCCATCCAGCTCCAATTACTCCATGGATATCCATAGAGCAATTGGATCTTAGCGGATGGAACTCTATTTTATTTAAGTCATTTACTGCATCCCGCGCCATTACCGGCATGCTAAGTACCAAAACTACTATAATACTGTAGTAGGTATGGTTATGTAATCTCGGATGTCTCGGTAGATGTAAATATACAACGGTTTTCCAAGTTTCCTTTGTATGTTTTGCGAAACCTGGTGTATCCACGTTTCTTGTCGTCTTCACTGATAACCCGCAGTATATGTCAGAAACCCGCTCCTAATGGTTCGCTCCGGCTTACGCCAAGCCGCTTAGAGGTATATAGGCCTCTTAACCGCTACTATGCTTTGGTAGCAGTTCGTCTCTAGTCTATTAAGACGATATACTATCATTAATGGGCGAAGGGATCGTTGGCAATAGCCAAAAATCCTCCGAGAAACCCTAAATAAGTGACCATCAATCCCCTGATTTGCGAAACCGAAGGGATCGTTGGCATCTTAGGTTGCGGAGCGCTGCAACTGCACAGCCTTGTGCAACAAGATTTAGCGCGTCAATTAAGCCTGCTTTAAAGATAATCTAACTGTTGTAGAGGGAGATATGTGATAAATAGTGCTAGGGTGGTCGTGTTCGTGTCAGATGAAAATGCTGAAAATGAGCTTAGGAGAAGTTTATGATTGCGATGATAGATTATGTCTTGATCATTTTTCTTTTTCGTTAGTCTGTTCTCTCTCCTTTTTGAACATAAACCTAATACGTCGGTGATACCTAGGTGATACATAGGTGATACCGTCTACGATGCAGTATCGCTTACTTTATCTAACACACCCCCTTAGCTTAGAAACCATTCTAAGCTAGATAGGAGCTGCTTCTGTTGTCTTCTAACGAACCTAGAGGTCGTGTGCAAGAAGCTTCGATCACAGTCTAGCTACGCCTGTTCGACCTCTAGCTTCTTAATTTAGCTTTAGGTCTCTTTAAGGCGTATTGCTGTTATTTCTCCGCTTTTCATGCGCTCTGCAAGACCTATTTAGCCTAGGAACTGTGCCTATTTATTAGCTAGTAGCGCCTTTGTAAAACTGTTAGCTAGCATGTCGTCTAATTAGACATATACAACCTAAATACTTCTTCTTAACACCTCCTGTCTTAGCTAATAATTGTAAATATCTACATGCTAGAGCTTAGTTTGCAACTGTGAGACCTCCTTATTAATTAGCTAGATAGTTTAAGTGTTATCGCATTGTATCGTAATTGTTTCCTTAGGCAGATTAATTTGCAGTTCCTTAACTAGTCGTGATATAAATATAGCTTTATTTGCAACTTATAATAGCGCAAGAAGCTTAGCTTCTGTCGTAGAGGTTGTAACTATATCTTGCTTACTTACTTTCTAAGCAATTAAGCTACTAAATAACTTGATTGTATATCCCTGCGAGCTCTTTCTGTCTAGTGTGTTATCGGCAAAAGAGGCGTCGCTCGCGACTTTAAGTCGACTATCCCCGCTAAGCTCGAGCGCTCGATTTCTAGTGCTCTGCAGGTAGAGGAGAACTCGATCGGCTGCATTATAATACTCCTGTCCTAGATTTATTAGAAAGCGTGCTAGTTGTAATGTCGCGAATGCAATATCTAGACAAGTTGTTACAGCTGTAAACATTAGGGATCTAATCTTTCGCTAGTACTTGTTAATTTCTAATAGAGTAAATAATAAGACGGCAAGCATGCATTAGGAAATGGATGACCTGCATTAGGAAATGGTTGCACCTTATTCGGGTAATCCGAGCCTTGGCTTACAGCGTTTCGTAATACTGCCTAAATAGGAAATTGACCTCGACTCCTACTATAAAAGGCTACTAACCCCCCCGTCTTCTTTTCCTATCTGCTAGCTATCTCTCTCTATTCCTACCTGTAAGGACATAGCCTCTCCTTAGCTACTACTTACTACGAGGTTTAGAGCTAAGGAGTAAAAGGCTACGTCTTACTACGAAGGCGCAAACTACTAGACCTTCGAAGGCCTAAACTACTAGACCTTCGAAGGCCTAAACTACTAGACCTTCTACGGTCTAGTACCCCTTTCGCTTCGCTTCTCTCTAGGCTATATAAGTACGCGTACGCTCTGCCTCTTCTAGGCTCTGCGTCTGCTATTTTCTCTACTCCGAATACAAGCTTCTACTCAACCAGTTCGCTCTTCTGCGCGTGAAGTCTGCCTTACACTACCCTTTTGTGCTAGATAGCATCGCCTAATCTAGCGCTGCCTGTCTCCTAACAAATTCCTACGAGGCATTATCGTCGCACACTAGCATCTACATCTATACGCAGACCTAACGCTGCGCCCAACCGGCCCCTGTTACAGTTACCCCTATCTAGGCCTAAAGTTACGGCTTTGCTTCTAGTGTCAACCGTCGCACGTAGTAACAAAGAGGCTATCCTTGCCCTTCTACAAGCATTTAGGTCTGCTAACCTATCGCTATCTAGTTATAACATGCTCCTTCGAATTTGTCACTCTTCTAATCTAGGCAAGATTTAACACTACTCGCACTATTAAAGCTAGCAAGTATATTCGAGCACCTTACAGTCGTCTAGACCCGAACAGGCTATTAGGGTTAGCGCCTTTTGTCCTTATATTGCAGCTTGCCCCTGCTGTTAGATAGACTAGACCTGTAAAGGCTAACCTTTATGCAGCACTCTAAGTGCGGGTAGATAGTCTAAGGCCTAACTTCTGTAGATACTAGACTAGAAGTTGAAATTTAACACTGCTTTCGAATAGCTTTGCTCTAGGAAGTAGGTAGCCTAAGGTCTAAAAATAACATCGATCGGGCTGTAAGTAGCTAATGTGACTAATAGCCTAGAAAGATAATAATATAGAACACGGCAAACTAAGTCCGAGAGATTAATCGCTAGCCCTATTTTATGCAAGTAGTTATGTTCCGTGCGCTAATAGGTTAGCAATCAAAGGATTTTATCTTAACTAGCTGCTCCTCTATAGTTCTCTAACCTATTAAAGCCGGGATACACGTACCCCCTACTATAGTAGCTGTTAGAAAGTTCGATAATTAGACTTATTTGGATGGAATGAAGGATCAGCACTATCGTGACCAGATCCTATAGCTCCTCAAGCCAACGCATTTGCAGCTCCTATAGTGCTATACTCTAGGCTATGCTTTAGGCTATAATATTTGTCTCTACTCTGCTATATCGTCCTAGGGGCGTCGTTCATGCGAAACCTATGCGCCTATTTACTAGCCCTCTTAGCAATAGTATATAAACAAAAGAAGCCTTTCACGGGAATACTAGCCTTCTTCGCCTAGTATACGAAACTGTAGGCTCCTAGGAATACTAGCCTTCTTCGCCTAGTATACGAAACTGTAGGCTCCTAGGAATCCTACAAAATGTCTTCTTTCCCTGCTAATTCTTCTACCGCTTTCTAAGGGTACAATTAAACGAAGTTCGTATTGTATGACCTATTATTAACTAGGTCCAAGCCAATTATTACAAAGCAGAACGGGAAGAAGAAGGTATCCTAGCACACGTCTAGCAACAAGAAAAAAAACAAAAATTGTGTAGGAATTAAAGATATTAGTATCCTTCCAGGGCTAACTCCTAAATTGCCTTACATCTCTAATGTAGAGTTATCCCCTCTTCTTATAACCGCAGAGTCTAGCTTTCTTATTAATAATAAAGGTACCGTAGGCTAATGCATCTTGCAATTTGTCGAGTCCTAACTAACATAAGCTTGCTAATACAGTTATTAATGCTAGCGCCGCTGTCCTTAATCAAAACCAAGGTTAATGTGAGGTTAGAGATAAAGCCTCTATTATGGAAGAAAAGCAGGACCTTGCAGATACCGCGAAACTAGATGCAGCAGCGGAAGCTTTCCTGTTTAATAGTACTCTAGGTAGATTCGCTAGGACAAGGCTAAATTATTTGCTAATAATTAATAGGAGATTAGGAGTTCCTAATAAAAGACTTTGGTTACTAATTTGCTAGCGACAGAGATTGCCTGCAAATGATATTTCAGGAGTTAGGGGACACCGACACATCCGACCCTCCTATATACGATACACACAGCTATAGTAAGTACTAGTTAAGAAGTGCAGTCCAACGTCGTCTAATTCAAACTACAGCCATTAGTATGCCTCCTCCTGTTAGTTGTAATAGTAAAGCGGCTAGCATACTATTGGAATTAGACGAGCGACAGCGCTCCTCTCCTAGCAAATCGATCTGTGCGACAAAGAACCTAGATTGCAGATTGCAATTAGACTAACAACGAGGTTCTCTAGAAGCCCTAACGGCCCCGAAC